CCGCTACTTTGTGGCATTTCACCTATCGTGGGACTGTCTGGAACGTAACTCGTGTGATAGGTGAGGGATCACCTGTATTTTAAAATATCTATGAGGTACCATTGTGATTACATGACAGAACTTTTGGAATAGTCTTTAATAACTCATGGTAACTAATGAGTTATCTTATAGGGCTATGACAAACGGTTAGTGTTCATGAGGCATTTAACCCAGTACTTGGAGCGTGTTGGAATTAAATGTTAGCTGTGATGATGGGGGACATGCTAAGATGAAGATGGTGATGATAGCCATGATGATGACCACAGTGTGGGTATGTAGGGGGCGGTCCTCGAATTTTTAATGTTACAAAGGTATTCTGAGAGACTCCTCTTTCTGGCTAGATGATTTAAGAATCTTCCTACTAGAAAACATACAGAAATTTTGGGCAGAAGTGAACAAATATCCTCAGGCATGTTTCACAGCTCACAAGAAAGTAAGGTAAATGCTAAGGGCCAAAATAGGGAATTGAAGACTAGACTGATTCATTTACAAATGGGTATTGCGAGGAGGTTGCCAAGCGTAGTTACAAGGAGGCCTGTGGGCTGAAGAGCCGCTCAGGGACAAGAGGTGGGGTGGGCCCCGAGACTCCCACGTGAAGGTAGAACCTACCAAAGACTACATCCTAGGAAAAGGTTAACTAGGAAAAAATCTATTTACATAAGGTGGTGTCTCAACTTGGGTCCTGAAGTGGAGTAGATAGGAAAAAATCTGTCATAAAGATTTATAACCTTGGGCCTGTCTTCAAAGTTTTTTTTTTTTTTCTTTTCTTTTCTTTTTGAGCCAGGGTCTCACTATGCAGTTCAGGCTGGCCTTGAACTCACTTTGTAGCCCAGGGTGGCCTTGAACTCCCAGCAATCCTCCTGCCGCAGCCTCTGGAGTGCTGGGATTATAGACATGAGCCACCACGCCTGGTTCAAAGCTGGTTTGTTTTTTCCTTTGTACTACTTGGGCTGCTTAGGAAGCTCCTTGGGCCTGTGATTCTTTTGGTTATACACTATAAAATTATGTACATTATATTCCAGGAATGCAGACTTAACGTTTGAAAATGTGTAATGTAATACGTCACACATTTGAAAATGTGTAATTAATACATCAGATTAAAGCATAAAACATGACCACATCCCTAGACAAAGAAATGCAACTAAAGCGTTGGACAAACTTTAACAGTTATCCTTTAAAAAAGTGTGTCATCTGGAGACCTGCTATGAATGCTAGTATACCTGCTGTAAAAGTTGAAAAGTGATCCTTTTATTCTCGTGATCACATAAGAATGTCTGCCAGTCTTCTGCTCATATGTCCTGGAAGTCTTAGATGAATAGAAAAAGCAAGAAGAAAACAGGTCTTTAGTCGCAGGCATGTCCCATGCACTGCAGGGTCTGTAGTAACAGCAATCGCAATGCCCATCAGCAGGTGAAGGGTGATCCGTGACATACTCTTAGCATGATTCCTGGCAGCTGTGAGGACGAACGAATGAACTAGGGTCAGTGTGGCATCGCTGCATCCCTCTCTGTGGTCCCCTTGGAATCATGGGTGAAATGTGGAACTACATTTCCAGTGTCTCATTTTCACATAGCTCGAGGTGGTTAATCCTCCAACAGGGCGACATTTGCGCGAATTCGTTATGCAGAAGAGAAACAACCGTTCTCGTGGTGGTGGATGGAACTTAGGGGTCACACTGAGCAGGCTGTTGCACCCCACCTGCTTCAGTGTACAGTAGTGTAGGTGCTTGAGGTCATTGTCACTTGCCTCCTGGATGCTTAGATTCACAGAAGCTTCTGAGTAAGCTCTTGAGAATCACATGAAGCGAAATCATTTCTGGCACTTCCCTGATCTTTGGTGCCCCATGCCTGCCCATGGTGACGGACATTTCTGATTCTGTGCTTGGAACAGCTAGAGCAGTTCTGTGTTCATAACCAAACCCCGCCTGACCTGTGGAGTTATGTATACCAGCTTGAGTAAGTTGCAGCTACAGATGGGTGAGTGAAAAAAAAGTCAGTCCGCAGAATTTTACAAGAGAATTCATGAAGTGTGCACGGTGATGTTGCATGTTGTTAAGAACACATATGAATACAGTAAAAGTTTCAAAACATGCATAAAAATTGTAAAACCAAGTTCAAGGCAGTGGGCAGTTATATATACACAAGGTTTCAGCTTAGTGGATATATATGTATGCTTTATTTCCTTAGGAAATTCTGGAAAAATTGAATAAAGTGATTGCTCTTTAAGTTATTCTGTTTGTCTCCCGGTGAGAATAATTACACTTAGAAGATATTTGAGTTTTGAAAATTATGAGGCAGACCATTGAATTTGATGGATTCAGTCAAAATTTCCATCTTTGAGATTCTGAAATTAAAAAAAAATTTTTTCTCTAATTAAGTGTGTAAAAATGACAAATTAGGTAGGTTCTATTTTTAAAATGTACTTGTACATTTGTTAGAACCAGAATTTTGAAAACAACAAATAGAAGTTACATATATGTTTATGAACAAAGTTTAATTTATGCTTGGAAAAATGATATATAGTAATTATTTTTATCTACATTGATAGTTCTCATCATTTAGTCAAAGATAAACATAGTCAAAACACAGCACTGTTGCTTTGGGTGCACTGTTTACATTTCTATTATTTGACTTTGAATTATTCTTGAACATGGAGATTTGTCTTAAGTTTTCATTTGCTTTTTGTTTATACAATTATTTTAGAAAGCACCTGTGGAACAGTTGTTTTTTGCTTATAAACTACTTGACCAGGCAATTGATAGAATGAATTTGAGCTGCGTGTTAACTACTTTGCCAAATGGATCCTCAGTGATTGACCATTGCTATGTGAAGGTAAGAATGGAAAATCTGACATTAGGTTGAAGTTTTACTGAAGTAGGCAGAGGGCTGTGCTTCAGGTAGGTCAGCAAAGCATGATTTGTGGCCGTGTTCCTCTCATAGGCCAGAAATATTCCCTACTTCCCAGAAGAAATGAAAACAAGTAAGTAGTCTCTGAACTTGTCAGTGGAGAAGACACTGACGAATTCTAAGAGGGTATTTATTACATGTGAGCCAGTTACAAAGTTACAAATTGGCAGAATTTAATAGCTTTGAGTAAGACATCACCTGAGTAAAATAATAGAGTACAGCTATTTTTGGTGTGTTTTGTTAACTATGTTTCATTTTATTTTAGTGTGTTTTGGTAACTGTATTTCTTTTTATTTTATTTTGATCTCTTCAGCCTAAGTGTTCCCATGATATAGATGGAGACACTTACAAACCAATCTCAGAAAACAGTTTCATGATGGACTTACACCTTGAACTAATTCAAGCTCAGCATCGAATAGCCGTTCTACTTCTTGACCAATTGCAAGGTAGTAGTCATCAGAGCAGATAACTACACTGAGGCCATTATAAGCCCAGTGAAGTATAGAATCAGTTTAATTTGTAACTGTTCTTGTTGACCATCTTCCAGATAGATTTGATTAGTTTTTCTTCTCTGTTTCATGCCATTGATATCTTGTATTATTGCTTTACACTTTGTGTATGAAGTCATTTAGTAAACTGCTTAAAATTATGATGGTTTGTTTGAATGATAGTAAACTATTGATATTTTAATTCCATTGAAAACATTTAGTGCCTATGAAGATCCCCATTTTTATCATTTTATCCTTTGCTGTTTTCATTCTTTCACAATTTATTTTAAACATTTAAATAGCTTGAAAAGCTGTTTCCTTTCTGGCCTACTGGGTATGGAGGGAAGCAAATAATAGTTGAAATGTCTCTGTGTCATTGAAAATAAATTGCAAACTAGATAAAGGTTTTCTAATGTTTAAATGAGGTTCCTTGGAATAATAACCTTCAACACTCTTTGGGCTGAAAAGATTTGGTTCAGAAATGTGTTTCAAAATGTGAATAGAATCATTGTGTCGGGTTTTCTTTAAGAAACTAGCCCACGACGCTCCCTTATTAGCACTATTATCTTCTTTAGTGGAGAAATAGGGTGTTATATCTGCATAGAGCAGACAGAGTAGTCTAAGTAGTGTATTTACTAATTGTCATCCACAGTCTTCAAAGGCCAAATGAGTCCTTTTTTAAAAGTCTGAGACCACTTAAAATTATTGGTAATACACATGAGTTCAATTTTAAGTGGAGTTAGTTATTATTCCTTTGTAATGTCCCCGGTTCTTTTTGATTTCTGCTTTTGCTTTATTGGACTACCACCCTAGCACAGATGATCACTTTGTACCTCCTGTCTTTCTTTCTGGAAGTATGCTGCTGCCAGGCTAATGTTCCCTGAATACTGTTTTTGTCATTCTTATTCAAGGACTTTACAATGGTTGCCTGTGGATGACCGTGGTATTAAATATGACTCATCTGTATCTGGCATTCAGAGTTTTCTTGAAGTCTCACCCTTCTTATCTCCATTATAATCAAGAGAGTTTAATTAGCATTCACAATGCCCTAGGTACTGGGAGAATGAAGCATTATTTTCTGCTTTGCTTTGCCATCCGCGTGCAGACACATTTCCTTACCCTTTGCTGTTAAAGACGCCTTGTATCCTTTCATGGTGTATGTTCATCTTGTCAATCACCAGGCCATGGTGACTCAAGTGCATTAGCACAAGTAATTAAAACTCAAAAAAGGGCTTTATGGTAAGGTTACTACCAGCACAATCGATACCTCCAAGGACAGAAATGAAGTATTGCGAGATCTCTTGAGAGATGGACCTGGAAATCAAGCATCAGTGCTCCTGTTTCCATCTCCATGGGCTGGTAGAGCTCATCCTTTTCTCCCTCATTCAGATTCTTTCTTGCTGGACAGCCAGTTGTACACCTGCGCTGACAGCTGAACTGCCTGTGTTTTAATTGACCGTCTCGGAAAAGTCTCTGCCTGGTGTTCATGCGGTAGGGGGAGCTCTTGCAAACATCGTGTTCAAACAGTTTCCCCGGAAACGCTGAGGGTAGTTTTGATAGCTGGTTGGCATCAGGACTTGCCATCTGTTCTTTGTGGGAAAGGAAAGTGAACAAAGTTTACCTTCAGGATAATTTTTTAAAAGATGAAATAGACAAATAATTTTTTGTAATTCGGAAATTCTATGCCTTGAGGTCTAATGGGACAAACAAAAGAGTTTTGTTTTTCAGGGCTAGAGATTGAACCCTGGGTCTTTTCACTGAGTCACACCCCCAGCCCTTTCTAATATTTTATTTTTGAGACAACGTCTTGCCATGTTGCTAAGATGTCCAGGCCGGGCTTGAAATTGTGATCTTCCATCCTCAACCTTCTGCAGTTCTAGATTATAAGCACGCACCACCACGCCCAGCTGAAAAACAGTTTTTGACAGTAAAATTGCATGGCAGAGTTATTTATATTTTTGTCTATTAATGAACGAAAAGATGTCATACATAGAGGAAGCAATACTTTTACAAATAGTTACTTTTTAATGTTTAAAAATACTCACTGCCTTAGACACGAACCTAATTATAATGACAGTCCTCTTCTTCAGTTTTGCAGGCTTCTTCTGTTAGCAAAAATATTTCTACCAAAAGTTCTGAGAAGTTAAAACAATCTGGAAACACTGACTGTTTCACAGGTAATTAAATTTGGGATAACCTGTGTTTCCCCCCAAGCTTGAATGATAGTTTTTATCTTGCCCTTTTATTAAAATATTTGTTTGTTTCTGCAGAATTGAGTGTAATGAATAAAATAAAGAAAAATAAACTGTCCAAAGCAATTTACCTAATGCAGAAAGCTCTTTTAATGTTTGAGAACGATCCAGCCTCTCCCTGTTCGTGGAACGTCCTGATGGTAACAGTATCTCATTTCTTCTTTTGTCCTGACAGGTAGTTTCTGCTATGATGAGTGATTTCTCTTTCTTAGGAATAACCTGGTGCTCTTACATTTGACTGTGAACTTTAAGGCTTTCCATAGGTAGCGCTGGCTGAGCGGGTAGATGGACTAACCTGCACCTCTCTTCCTGAAATGTCTCAAAATGAGAGATTCTCTCTCTGTAGGGACAGTGTGCGTGAAATCCACACAGAAAGCCGAGTGAAATCAGAAGGAGTCAGAGTGCGGGGAATTATAGAGTGACACTGTGCCAGCCCACTGTATTTCTGACCTTGGAATTAGAATGCTTAAAGCCCACTGGCTAAGGTACCTTTTCTCTCAGGTGGATGCTGCCAACCTGTGTACTATTCCCCTTGCTGTTGATACCTTTTCTCCCTAGGTGTCAGGAACTGAATTCAGGGCCTTCTTATGCTAAGCACACACTCTGTGACTGAACTACATCCCCAGCTTTTGCTGATACCTAAATTGGTCCATACTCTGGCCTGGAAGTTGTTTTGTCAGTCTGCTAATTCATTATATATTGATTTTAGTTTAACTTCATGACAACAATCACTTCTCAAGTTGTGAGATCTTGGTTTTGCCTCTGTGTGCAACCTATAAAAGTTTGGTTTTATTGGCTGTGTTAGCTTTCCATTATTGCAACAAAACACTTGAGATCAACCATGTAAACGGAGGGAAGGTTTACTTTGGCTCACGGTTCCCAAGTGTTTAGTCCATGGTCACTTGTTCCTATTTCGTTTGGTCCTGTGGCAAGGCAGTAGAGCCTGGAGGAAGTTCACAGCAGAGGAAACTTGGAAACAGTGATGACAACAGAACAAAGAGAAGGAAGGAGGGAGAGAGAGATGAGAGAGAGAGAGAGAGAGAGAGGGAAGGAGAGAGGGAGAGGAAGATGGAGAAGAGGAGGAGGAGGAAGAAGAGGAAGAGAAAGACAAACGTGGGGAGAAGAGAAGAAGGAGAAAGAGAGGTTGGGGTCCTACTGTTTCCTTTGAGGACACACTCCCAGTGCCCAGACTCCTCAGTGAGCCCCTCCTACTAAAGGTTTTACAGCCTCCCAACAGTGCTCTGGGATGGTGGCCAAGACTTTCACACAAGTGCCTTGGGGGATACTCCACATCCAGTCTATACTGTTGACTGAGTGACTGACATCTGAAAACACGACAGAGGATAATGCTACAGGTAACTTGGCTCAGGGAAGGGAAAAGTTAGGTCAAAGCTAGGAGGAGGATACAGAGCAGTTAGTACATGAAGTCCTATCAAAGAGGGAAAAGGATGAGATCAAAAACATAAAGGAATTATTTATTCTATAATTTTATTCAAGAAAATTTACTCAATAAAATTTATGCATTAGGTTTGAATTTCCAGCCTTTGGAGGCAATTTCTCGGTAGTGTTTGGTGGTTAGAACTGACAAGGCCAGGTGGCCTCTGGTCTTTTTTGGAAGACTTCTAGGCTGTGTTCAGATCCACCAGCAGATGCTTTCTTGGCCCTTTGCCTGGAGGACACTGGTACTTCAGTCCTATTTCTGTGGAGAAGAAACTTTTCTTTCTTTCAGAAATGTCACTGTAAGAACTAATCCTGGGGACTCTCAATAGCCAGAAGAGAGCATAACCTCTGAAGTTTTCTCTCTTGTTTTATTCTGACTCAGCCTTGTCTTCCTGTCCTGAGGTATATGCCCATTCCCTGTTCCGTCTCTCACTTTCTCCGTCTGAGGCGGGGAGCGTCCTGGACACGGGGAAGCTGCACATTTCCAATCCATACCCTTTCCTTCTATTTTTTAAGTGAAACTATTTTAACTAAAGAAAAATTGTGAGTGTAATGTCCTATTAGGACAGACTCATGAGATGCATTTAGAGGCTCTGATTTTTATGAGGCCTCCTCCAGGAGGATTTTCACCCACTGGGAGCACGTTGAATATTTATTTTGAGGCCTTGTAATCATCTGTAGCCACCTCTGCTCCTCAGTGGTAGCTTCTATCCAAGAGTTAAGGCTTAATGACCAGTCCTTAGGGTACTGTCCCAAACAATGATGTTATAGCTCAAGTAACTGCCAAACTTTCTTTCTTTAAAGGAGACAAATAAACTTCTTTCCCTCGGCAGTCATTTTCTGCTGGGGTACATTACAGAATGTTTTACATTATCATGATCTTGTAATAAACTTGTCCCCAATCAGTAGTTGATGTGTCACCTGATACCATAAAAAGGTATAAAAAGCTTGGGTCTTTTCTTATCTCTTAAATAATTCATGCCTTGTTTGAGTTTTTCAAAACTTTCCTGCCCTTGGGGATGCAGATAATCTCATCAGGTGTCCGTTTTGCTCCAGATCAGTCAAGGCACACCAAGCTGTCACTGAAGAGGGAGGAACCTGTGGTACTAATGGTCAGTTTTCCAAGTGAGATGATGGGTAGCCTTCCAAGCGAAATGACTGTTTTCTTTCTTCTTGGTTGCGAGGAGTTACTTTTCCCATTTTCTTGTTTTGGTTATTTGACCTCTAGAGGTCCCTTTTGGCTTTTTACACACTGTACCCTCATTTACGGTAAAAGGTGGTCTCAGAACCAGTGCGGGGTGACCTTGGTCTTCTGCCTCTGCTCAGAGGCAGCCGTCATGAAGGCCCGTGTTCTGCCCTTCGTCCGCTTGGAAGTCCACCAGCCGAACATCCAGCATCTTTGCAAATGAAGCTTCCTCCTGGAAGGAGGCAGAAGGTCTCAATTCCAGAGCTAGGGGTTTAAAGGGCAGACTTCTCCACGCAGTTTTCTGTACAGTAGAATCTCCTCTTCCGCATTTGATATAGTTGGGTAGAGCTGGTTCCCCAGGGGAATTCTAGCCATACTGGAGAGGCCAGTTGATTGCTCCATCCTTGGAATACGAGTCTTCAGGAGGGGGATGAAAAGACTCCAGCCTTAGACATGCACCCAGTAGAAAAATAATAGCCCAGGAGAAGTTTGTCTGTCTTTAAGAAGTGAAAGTTCGGCATTTCATTCGCTCCATTGCCTGTGCGCTGATCACGTTGTGATCACGGTGTTCTGTAGATCCTGTCCCCTCCTCGGGCTGCTGTGGTCCAGACTCAGTTTTCCAATGGCTTCTGTTGCAAAGACACTGAAGGTTGGATCTAGTGCCTCTTGCACCCCTCCACTACTTTTTGTTACAATCTAACCAAACCTGCAGTTGGGATGATTTTAATAATTCCAAATTCTGGTAATAGTTCCTCAACTCTACTCGAAAGAGCATTTTGATTCAGCAGATGATTTTCTTTACTTTTTTTTCCCCCTGAATTTTATGATCTTATTCTTTAACTTTTGTTTGTTCTTTTTTTTTTTTTTTTTGTCTTTCTGAGACAGGGCCTCCCTATGCAGTTCAGCTGGCCTTGAGCTCACTTTGTAGCCCAGGCTGACTTTGAACTCCAAATGATCCTCCTGCCTCAGCCTCCTGAGTCCTGGGATTACAGGCATGTGCCACCATGCCTGGCTGTTTGTTTTTTGAGACAGGGTCTTGCTATGTAGTTCAGGTTGGTCTTGAACTCACTGCGTAATCCAGGCCACCTTCATGTAATTTAGTAATCTTACTTTTCATATTTATACAAGAAAAAAATAAAATTATAGGTACCCCAAAATGAATTACACGTAAGTGTTTAAAGCAGCTCTATTTATAAGAGTGTTGAGCTAGAAACAGCTCAAATACCCATGCACAGAAAAATCACTTTACAGATTAACTCATATTCATGTTTGGAAAGCTCTTCAGCAATGAAAATAAATGTTAGATAATAGAAAGTAGGGGTATCTTAAATGGAAAGAGGATCAAGAGGTGGAGAAACAGGACAGAGAAGAGAGAAAAGGCGTTGAAAAAAAGGAATTAAAATGTGTTATGTGCAGGTACCAACCCCATACAAGTTGATGGCAATCCTCCTGCCGCAGCCTCTTGAGCGCTGGGATTTCAGCTGTGTGCCACCGTGCCTGGTGGATTTTCTTAATAATTGATACAGTGTGTAATGATATCATCCCAATTTGAAACCAGAATTAATGATGAAGCCCAGAGTTACTAACTGTCCTAATAGCTCTTGGCTTTTATATTTCTTGAATTTACATCTTTGTGTCCTCTAAATATCACTCTGCTAACTATGCTAGTAGTAATTAGATTTAATTATTTTTCCAATTTGATAGCATTTTAGCGCAATCCTATTTACCATTTGGGGGTTGAAGGAGGATAAATGTGAATATATAGGAATTATTGTTTTTTTTCTCAGCGATTTTCTCAGTTCTTTTTAATTGTTCCATGCTGAAGTCTTCCTCCTAAAAGAAGAAGACTAAAAGGGATAGAAAAAAAGAGAGAAGTGAGGGAAAAAAAGGAAATAGAGCTTTTGCAAATGGGAAGAGGACCAAGAGATTCAGGGGGCCAGGCAGAATGGAGAGGGGAGAGGACAAAGGTAGAACTAAGATGTGTTATGTGCTCGTACCAACTCCCTGTGATAAATGCAATCATTATGCACTAGAGGCATGCACTAATAACAATAAATAAATACATTTAAAAAGAGCAAGTTTCTCTCTCTCCAGTAAGGTCATGTTTAACCCCCAGCTTTCAAACTACTGACCAGGATGTTTTCCCCTTTCAAGTGATTTAATGGAAAAGCCCAGGAGCCATCACCTCAGTTGCCTTAGCATGTTTCTTTTAACTTAGCTTTGTATTAGGAGAAGATAGCACGGCGGTTAGGGTCATAAAGGTCTGGGGTAAGGCTCTTGTTCTGTTGCTGATTAGCTGTGTGTGCTAGGCAGGCTACTTATGCTCTTGTGAGTTTTAATTTCTTCATTTGTAAACTGGCGGTTCTAGGAAAAAGTTGAAATGATGCATCTAAAACGCTTAGTTTTAGGTACAGAATAAGCAGTTGCTAAATGTTAGTCGTTTCCCCCTAAATGTTAGTCGTTTCTTCCACTTTAGGCACTCTAGAACTATTTCCTGTTGCTTTAGGTATATTTCTCTTTATAATTTTCTCATATTTTTCTATGATTTTCCTTAGGTTTGTCTTACATGTTTTGTATTTTATTCTCAGCAATATTCCTTCCCAGGGTTCTTGGAGATGGCTTAATCTACTTCTCATCTTCTACGGTCATATTGAGAACCCAGAATACACTCCAGGGAGGTGCCGCAGAGAAGTCGTAAATGTGGTGCCTTATCATTCCAGGCTGGTAGTTGTTTACATATGTCTTAATCATGCCCTCGAGATCACATTACATCTTTCCATTAGTGTTTTGCCGCTCCGTGGGTGTCAAGCCTGTGTCAGATGTACTTAACGTCAACCTGTCTCCATGAGCACTGGGTAGCGTCTGAAAGGAGGCAGGGCTCGTTTTCTCCAAGGGAAACTACAGGCAGAGAAATTTACAGGCAGACACCCATACTTTGGACTTCAGTTGTTTTGTAACACATCCAGCACAAACCATCACTGAACAAACACTCAGAACTTATTTCCCTTGTGGATTGGTGTATGTTGGGGACCACAAATTCTCGATGGCTAATTTTGTATCCTTCCCTAGGGATGAGTGGAGGCTTGGGATTATGGGTACCACCCTTTTGAGATTTCCCATTAGCTCTTTAGGGATGGGCCATCCTCTCCCACCTACTAAGACTTAACTGAAACCTCTAAGATTAAAAAGCACTCTGGGGCCAGATCCTTGTTAGCATGGGATCATCTACGCCCTCTTGAGCCATCCCAGGATTATCTGTTGCCTGATGAGTCCTACATATCCTTGAGTCTTCCGCAAGCCCCTCCTGTCATTGTGCACACCTAGTAAATAGTGGCTGGCTTGGAGTCTTTGTCTCTGCCCATCCTGAAGCATTGACCTCCCAGCTTTCCTTCATGTATTACAAAGTAGTTTGTCTCTCTTATTTTGTCCTCTCTCTGTACCCGTCATACAGGCAGCTGGGGATCTTGGCTACATCCCTGATAGGTGTAGATATCCCTTTCCACTCAGGTTCCTTGGCTGAGCCTTTCTGTGGTAGGTAGATTTAGGTAGTGAGCCTTCTCGTTTGCTAGACTGTGCCAGCTGGGGGAGAGGTGAAGTCACTGTTACTCTCCGTTATGTGACATTCATGGAAACCCACTTCACCTCCACCTCTGACTAGACAATGGCTGTCCAGATTCTGCAGCTGCAGTCTTTTGGTACTCTAGAGCACCAGCACAACATTCATGTCCTTACGACACCCTCTCAAAATTGAGTACAGTTGGTCTCATGGGAGTTTTTCCGTCCTAATTTTAAACATTATTTCCTCCTTTCTAGTTGAAGAATCCCCTTTAAAAATCCTGCTCTTTCATGAATGAAGTCTTACTCGCACCTCAATGATGTATCTCACACAGTTGGGATTCTAATTTTCAACTAGCAGTAGGGTTTGCCTTGAGTTCTGTTTTAGAATTTATCTGATTTATCAAAGCTAAGGACTTTGTTTTAGACTTTTCTTTCAGTATCTTTCACTTCAGTCTTTCATACTCCTGCCATAGCAAATTTTTAACACTTCTACTATTTCACATTGGGCCAGGGGTTCTGAGTTAGAGGGCTGAAATTAAAAGTAAGATCCAATCAGGACATTTTAAATGTACTAATAACATGCATTACAGTAAAGATCATCCTTCCCTGTCATAATTTAGTGTGTCTTTCATTCAAAACTCATTGACTAGGGCTGGGGATTTAGCTCAGCGGCACAGCGCCTGCCTGGCAAGCGCAAGGTCATGAGTTTGATTCCTGGTACCGGGGAAGAAAACAAAAAACCCCAACTCATTGACTAAACCTAAGCAGATAAAGGACTGTCCCTACCACCAAGACACTCATTGTTGGGGGTGTGGACAGTCTTGTCACAGGGTAAAGAGCTATGAGAGCGAGTAGGAAGATAATGCCAGAAAATCCAGCCACGATCAGAGTGATGAAAACGCCTCTGGAGAAGTTCACACTTTATCCAGCCAGTATGGGAGGAGCCGCCGAAGGGCCAGAAGACCAGAGATTGATGAGGGTAGGCGCTGAGGAAGGTAGATTTTCTCTTCCAGATCAGTGAAAGCCATGTGACTCACACTCAGAACTGCCCCTGACATTTGTCAGGGATACAGATGCGCAAGCCCCGCTCCTAGAGATTTTAATTTGGCTTGGGAAAGAAACAGCTTCCATTTTAACACAAACTTCTCAGGTGATGCTGACAAACAGCCGGCCTGAAAAAGCCAGCCTGTGGGACACGGCCCATGGGAGAAAGCGGGAAGGTTTTGATCCCAGTGAGGCTCATGGACGCACAGAGGGAAGGTGCTAGAGCTAGGTCAGAAGGTGCCCGTGGTCAGCGGGCTCGCTTGAGCGCCGGCTATCAAGGCAAATTGGGGTTAACTGTGGGGCGCTCGGCCGCTGGCTAGTGAAGGGAGACGAGGTCAAAGGCAGCCTGTGCTAACACAGGGCCAGTGCCCCGTGCTGCTGATTTATTTTACATGGTCCAGACATAATCTAGATGCAGGAAGTAACGCCAGCATTTCACAGTATCATTTCATCTGTTCCCAGTAATGTGAAATGTCCTGGCGCTCACAGCCTATGATGCACATGCCCCTCTCGGCACAGTTGTCAAAATGTCACACTTTTGTCTCCCTCTTCTTCACGATTTGCCCATAGTGATCTGGTAAACGCTCTTAGCTCCGCTGGCTCTGACCCTGCTGCCCTGCGCTCTGCCCTTTGCTCGGCACTCCCAGAAGCGCTGCTCTGCGGGCGCTGTGGTCCCGCTTTGCTCTCCGTGGTGGGGGCTACAGAGGTGAATGAACGTCTGCCCGGCCGTGCCTTGGGTGTTTCCTTGGGGCCATGGCTGGTCACAGTTTTCTGACACTGTTCACTCAGCATCTAGACCAGATCCTTTTTTGTGATTTTTTTCTTTTTCTTTTTTTTAGTACCGGGAATCGAACTCAGGACCTTGTGCTTGCCAGGCAGGCGCTTGTGCCACTGAGCTATATCCCCGACCCTCCAGGTCTTTTTCTTTTCCATTTTTCTTATCAACTTTCTACTTTCCTTTCCTCTTTCTGTTGGGTTGAATGAGCAAAAAGTAGGGATGGTGAAGGACAGAGGTCCTCCTATCTCCTTGATTGATAGACTGGTGGATCTGCTCACTGAATGATTTAATGGTTACAGCGCACACCCGTGACGTGTGTATAAGCTAGCATTTGGGTCTAAATACCCGAGGTCTTCGGTATGTGGGGTGTGGAGAGTCAGTGACCGTATAAGGCCTGAAGAAACAGTTGTCCCTGCAGATAGCTAAGATTCTTAACCAGTGCATGAAATATTTTCCAAGGTCTCCTGGTACAGAACAAGCAGAATTAAAAAGACTACTATTACAGATAACATGGCAATAATGACTGATGATTTTATGTCTTGATGTCAGCAAATTCCAATAGAAGATAAAAATAAGAAGTTAATTCTGATCTCAATTTAGGCCGAGTTTTATTATTTTAGGAAAAAATGTATGGTATTGTGTAGTTTTATAATCTACACTTGTACGAGGAACCGGTTTACTTCCTCACCTTTAAACATCTCTTTGAGGCATACTCAGATCTTCTGTCTGGTCTCGGTCTCTCTTTTGAGTGTGAAGTCTGGATTCCCAAATGAAAACTTCAAGCTCAACATTTCTTCTACAGGGGAAACAGCACAGGTTTTTGTATAAAGTGAAGTAAATTCAGAATTTGGTAGACAAACATGTTGCCTTATCATTTCTAGGGTCTCTTCTCATTTTTTAATTTTTAAATTTTTTTTTTTTTTTTTTTTGTCTTTTTTTGGAGACAGGGTCTCAGTAAGCAGTTCAGGCTGGCCTTGAGCTCACTTTGTAGCCCAGGCTGTCCTTGAACTTGCATTGATCCTCCTGCCTCAGCCTCCCGAATGCTGGGAATACAGGTGTGCGTCACCACACCTGGCAGGTCTCTTCTCTTGTGTTTGTTAAATTGGGCAGAACTTCCAGAATAAAATGGAGAGATGGCATTCTGTCTCCTAGGTTTTACTATTTCTTTTAGTACGTAGTAGCACTAAGAGTGTTATATTTGGCCTATTTGAAATATATTTGCTATTAACTAAAACTAACATTTCTAGTGATAAGAAGAGAGGACTTTCATAATTCATTGAGTTTTAAAAAATCAGTTAAAGTATTAAAATGTTCAAATATCTTAGAAAATTAAAAACAAATATAAAGCGCATTTACTTGAGTTTACAAAGACTAAAATAGTGTTTATTTTAAGTTATTTTAACTACTAGTATTAATTGAGCAGTTCCTATGTGTTAAGTATTATTGGGAAATTTATATACCACTGCTGCTATATTTAGCTTTGCTTTTGAAATATTGTTAGATATGATTTTATCTTTTTTGTTTTATGTGTTATCTCTGTGTATAACCTTTTCAAAAAGTGGCTGCATTTCCCTCAGGCTTACAGAATATTATTTTTTCTCCATTTTATTTCATCCTGTCAATAGTAAGAACCTCTTGATACGATTCCTTTCACAAACCACATACACCAGTAACCTTATTAACTAATAGTTACACCTCAGATTATATTAAGGGGAGGTGTATGGTGCATCAGCATAAATGTACAGGACTTTGTTACGAGCTTTTGAAGCTTAGTTATGTATGGGAGTGGATATACAGAGGTTTTGATTTAAAGATAAATGTCTCATCTTAATGTATGATAATTACCTTTAGATGTATAAATACAAGGCCCATGATGATCATGCTTATTTAGTAGCCATGTTCTAACCCTGCAAAATCATTCAAGTATATATATATATATATATACACACACACACATATATATATACCTCTGCGACTCAATAAACTACATATAGAAAGATAATGCTATTCTTTTTTAAGATAATGTTATTGAACATTCTGCAGATGTAAAGGGCGTTCAAGGTCTTGAGATGTATTTTTCCATTTTCACACTTCATTATAGGAAGCATATTCTTTAATTGAGAAGATTGAAGCAGAACAAAATGCATTGTTTTCACATCAGAAATATTTGCAAAGTTCAAAGATAAAGAAGAGCAGAATCCCTCCTCCACCCATCCTCCTCGCCAGAACCCACTGTTCGGTGACCCTCAAACCTACTCCATTTATTTCAGATGCTAAGGTACGGTGCCCGCTATGATCCGTGCTTCTTGCAAAACAGTGTAAGCACTTTGATGGCTGCAGTGACTCAGGCTTTTATTGCTTTTAGGACCCGAGTAGCCTTAATTATAAGCACTGAACAGCGGATTAGTATTGTAATGACCTGTTTCTTAGTGGCGTTTCCCCCTTCGTGCCATTGTGGAATATTCCGCACAGCTGTCCTCCACCCTCATGCACAGTAAGCAGAAAGAGCATGCAGGTAGCTCTTCCACCGCATCTTGTCACTGTGCTAGAACTGAATGCTGACATCCGAAGGGTGAGCTCAGTATGGAGGCCCCATTGGAAGGGAACGACAGCAGAAGAGGGAGGGGTCCCTGTCAGAGCCCTTGACGGGGACGAGGCAGCTCTTGACTGGGGTGTGGAAATTTGGAGGTGGTAAGTATGGAGGCTCTACCCAAAGTTCTTGCGAATAAACATGGATTCTTTTAACACAAACAGTGATAATCCTAGCCACCTAGGACGCAGCACATCAAACAGCTTTACGTGTTTATTATGACGAGACTGCCCGGTAGCCCTCATGCCTTCGAACTTGGTCTAACTGTGACTGATATTTGAGAGTTAGTTTGCTAACAAGAATTTGTTTCCACCTAATTTATATTTTAAATATTGCATTTCCCTCCTTTGGGTGATCAACAACATGCTCTTTGATGTCCTGTACAAAAATAACATTTTATGTTTGAGTTGCTTTAGGGTGTTTTGCATGCAAAGACGTTTGGAGCCTAGCACATTTAGTTTAAACGTTTAGCTCCACTCTTTATTAGTATGACTTTAGGAAGGCAAAACACATTTTCTGAGGTTTTTTTTTTTTTTTTTTTTTTTGTACTGGGAATCGAACTTAGGACCTTGTGCTTGCCAGGCAGGTGCTTGTGCCACTGAGCTATATTCCCAGCCCTGAACTTTTTTATTTGCAGAAATCTTTTTTTTTTTTTTGAGTTTTTAATTTGTAAAGTGTGTTAACTGTGAAAACAAAATGAATTAATGTGTAATATTCTTGGCATATCAACTGATGTCTCATCACTACCTGTGTTAAACATGCATAGTGAAATTTGTCAAAGCAAGTAGTGGAGTTATAGACTGTGATTACATTATTCAGTGAGTTTTTCATTACTTCCATCCAATGGGCACTTACTGAATGTGTGTAATCTATCAAACTCCACGTTAGGCAATTAAAGCGTAAAGTTAAAAAGGGATGAAATGTGGCCCCATTCTTTAAGGAACTCCAGACGAGGGGGCGAGGGACATGAGTCAGAAGCAGTGCCACCACCTTTATAGGAGTTTTAAACTGTGGAACTAGGTGTGACACTCACCTTACACCCAAGTGTGCTATAACGTATGGCTTCTACTGACAGCAGTTCTAACGTTCAACTTTGACTGATTTAGAGTCTGTTTAAGAATAGGGCTTCACTGATTTCTGAAGAAAAAAACAAAACAAAACAGTACAGAATGAAATCTAGATGATTTACCACATATTTTTGTTGTCAAATATTTTGGTTTACTAAGCCAAAATGTTATTTTTTATGTATTTCAATCCAGCGACTTGTTTATTTTGTTTTATAATGCTTGGAAATCAGAAGATGAGCCCTGCATATTTGATCTGCAGTTTCAGTGCTTGTCATTTGGCGCATAGTAAGAAGATGTAAATGACAGTCGTCCCAGGACGGAGCACTTAGTGAGTCCTACTCATCACCACTAGGTGGTGCTATGGGTTTGAATACATCTTCCGCTTTTTGACTTCAGCCATCTTTTCCCATCAAAACCTCTTAAGGCATTTGTTTCATTAAAATCTGTTTTCATAGTTGAAAATAATATTAAACATATTTACATTCTTATAAAATCTTCTAAAGTTACTGATTTGTTCACGGTGTCTCTATTCTTATGTAGATTCTAATTACACATGCTTCTTAAGAGTTATTGAAACTAGGATGTTTCCATCAGTGGAGCAAAGATGTAAAATCTGCTAGTAAAATTGCTTTTAGAGAGAATTTTATCCTCCCAGTTCTGGTTTATGTGGGATAATTTAGAGTTATAGCAATCTAAGTCATATAACACAGTCCTCTCCACTGTACTTTTTTTTGCATGAGAAATCAAGGGAAGTTAACTCCAGTTTTTTCCCCTAAGTCTCATCAGATTTTCCCTCCTGGTCTCCAGCTTTCAGGTTTCTCCAGTGTTCTTTCTGCCCTTCGATCTCTCTGACCTTTCACTAGTTGTGCATGTAACAATTTTCGGTGCTCTTTCATTGGTTGTGCATGCGACAATCATCTGAGAAATTTTCTTTGGAAACGCAAAAGACCAGTTACTTGTATCAGAAATTTTAATTTCTGGAAGCAATTTAAGAAAATGGGTGATCCTGTACAAACTATGTTTTTTTGTTTGTTTTGTTTGTTTTTCTTCCAGTACCAGGAATCAAACTCATGACCTTGCACTCGCCAGGCAGGTCCTGTGCCGCTGAGCTAAATCCCCAGCTCCACAAACTATGTTTTTAAAAAGTGGTTCTGGTGCACAGGCAGGGTTGAGACCCACTCGTGTAGATTAGAATTTTTCTTTTGGCCTGGAAGGAGGAGGAGTAGGCCCAAACTGTACAAGGCACTTACTTCTTAGAGACAATACACTTTCCCTTCTTTCCTGCTTTCCCTATAGTTTTGGAGTTGCCTCTGTGTGTGTGTGTGTGTGTGTGTGTGTGTGAGAGAGAGAGAGAGAGAGAGAGAGAGAGAGAGAGAGAGAGAGAGAGAGGGATGACCCCCACCATCCCAACAATATGGCTTGCTCATATACCACTCCCTTTGGCATCAACTTGATCCCTTGTACCTTACAGTGAAAATATGGGTCATCCTGATAATATACCTCCATTATTTTGACATCTTAGCAAAAAGACACATTGTCTAACTATTTAGTCAAGTTTAAGTTTGGTTGTTTCTATGGGCTTCACACCTTGTGTTTGGATTATGTCTTTATTTAAAACTATCCAAGTAATGTCTTGGTTCAGGCAATTATAAGCTGCAGAAAAAAATGATTTGTCATCTTACTATTCTATCAGGCAAACTCTACTACTATTTTTATGTTACGTATACTTACATTTCATTTTAATTACTATACTATCTATCTTCTTTTTCTGCTTGCTTTTCTGTCCTCTGTTATTATGATCAAATATAACAATCATTTCAGTAGTGTTCTTTCTTCCATCAGGTCATTTTTGAGTCCACCAAGGTGAAGTCATCTTTGGAGTCAGCTCCTGCCACTGCTTGCTTTGGGGCAGTCGTTTAGCATCTCAGCATCTCTATTTCCCTGGTAACAGTGATTCCATCTCCCAGGGATGCTGTGAACGTCAGTGGCTGTGTCAGCCTCCTAAGATGCTTAGCATGTAGAACCTGTCCAGCTAACGGTAGTTAGAATCATTGATAGCGGATAATATTTTAGTCTTGATTGTTCTAGGTAAGCTCTGCCTGTCCTGTATTTGTCTTTGCTTTTGTAAGATTAAACTTAAATATCTTTATAAACTTAGACTTCATATTTTAAAACTTGAATGTTACTTTTTTATTTCTAAAAGCATTCTTTTTGCTACATGGAGACAAAAGAAATCAAATGCCTTTTATGCAGACTACAGGTGATGTGCCCATCTCTCTCCCCGGCAGGTGTCCTGGTATTGCATTTTGGGTTGTAAAGCAGAAGGAAGTTACGGAAAAGTGAGGCTAAATAATAATCATCTCCCGAATTCAGGAGACGCGGTACGTCGTATTCCATGTCAGAAAAACTTACCGAAGGCCCATCAATAACAAAGAGGTTTTTTTCCCTTACGAAGTCATTATTTCAGTGAATCTACTCTAATTTCAACTTGAGTCATAACTAAAATCCAACAGTGAAAGTATTTTTACATATAATGTTGCAAGTCAGATTATTTTAATTTTCTCTGTGTGACTTGAAATGTGTTCTGTTAATAGATACCAGCTGATGGTAAAAGCATTTTTGAAGTGAAAGGTTTAGAAGCTAATGAAAAATACATATTTGCCATTGCTGCTTATTGTTCTAATGGGAAGCTCGTTGGTGATGCAGTTGGGGAAACAACGAAACCGATCCTGGTGTATCCATCTCTTTCTGCTGTCACTGCTCGAATGTACCTGATACAGGTAGAGGAGAATTCTGCTATTTTTCTATTTTTTTTTGTTGTTGTTAAGAATTTGCTAAGTTCTGATGAAAGAAAATCAGCAGATATTCCAAACCTTATGTCACACACATTTTTGTGATTGCAGTTTAATCTGATAAACTATGAATCATTTTTTCTTCTATTAGTTTGCTTTTTAAAATAATAACATCCCCCCAGATCACAAATATAACATGTAATAATTGTAGAAATTTTGGAATGTACTGAAATGCATATAGGAGAAAAATTAAAAAAAAAAATATTTGGTTCTTACTACCCTCAGAGCAATTTTTCCAGTGTCTGAAAACATTATCAAAACCTAGCAGGGTGCTATTGGTGTCTAGTGAGTAGAGGCCAGGCATGCTGATAAGCTACATTTTATGTGTATGAATTCATGTTCTAAGTCATGTTATTTATTTATTTTAGTCTTTTTGAGACAGGGTCTCACTGTGCAGTTCAGGCTGGCCTTGAGCTCAGCTTTGTAGCCCAGGCTGGTCTCGAGCTTGCCGTGATCCTCTTGCCTCAGCCTCCCTAGTGCTGGGATTACAGGCGTGCACCACCACACCCTGCCTTTTGAGTATTTGTCTTTTTTTTTTTTTTTGTACCTGGACTCGAACTTAGGACCTTGCTCTTGCCAGGCAGGCTCTTGTGCCACTGAGCCATATCCCCTATAACATGTAATTTTAATCATGATATACATGTTACTTTGTAAACTGATACTGTCATTTAATATGTAGTTGGCATTTGTCATTCCATTAGGAATTCTTCCAGAATAACTCTATGGCATTGAATTTTACAGGTATATCATAGTTTCCTTAGTAATTCTTCATTGCTGGTCATTTAGATACTTTTATTTTTTTTGGTACCTGGAATTGAACTCAAGACCTTGCGCTTGCCAGGCAAGTGCTGTACTACTGAGCCATATCCCTGGCATTTAGAGACTTTCCAGTCTTTTGGTCTTATGAAGAAACTATGATGCAGGGGCTAGGGATTTAGCTCAGTGGCACAGCGCCTGCCTGGCAAGCGCAAGGTCGTGAGTTTGATTCCTGGTACCGGAAGAAAAACAAACTAAAAAAAAAAAAGAAACTATGATGCATACCATTCCAAATCTTCCCTTGTACTCATGAGTACTTTCTTAGGATAAATTCAGAGATGGGAACTTTCTAGGACAATAGAGACAGACTTGAGTTCAAATTATAACTCCTGACAGTAGCTGTGATACTGAGGAAGGCAGTTTCATGTGTGAAGTGGGAATAAAAGTGAGACAATTATATTAAAAGTATCTCCTAGGGGCAATATGAGTATGAAATGGAATGATGCCTGTAAAATGTTTCACATCAGACTTACCACACAGTAGATCCCAAGTAAACAGTGCTCTTAGTCATGGACATACTCATGGATTAATGCTTTTTGCTGAAATCGCTGTTGTCTGACTTAAAACATTTCACCACTGACGAGGATGCTAAAGTGACTCCTTAACCTGGGTCTTCAGTATCTAATTTTAGGGTATTGTTGGTTGTAGAGCTTATGGTTATTCTAATTGTGTCATATTTCTACTGTGCTATTTTTTATCATAATAATTGATCAGTATTATAAACTTAGATCTCAGTGGCATTTTATATTATCACATTTTTCAAAGAAAATTAAATTGAGAGAATTGCTAGGATTTGTCTAGCATTGGTTTAGCATGTCATATTGGCTCATGGTTTTCTGGTATTTTGATTTCTCTGGAATTTAATATATTCCCCAATTTGCACTGATGGAGTTATTGTGAGGAACTGAATATTTCATCAAGGCCTAATTTTTCTCCAGGGAGTGGTTTGACTCTTGAGCTCCATTTGGCAGAACTTTCATTGAAAGTTAATAAAACTAAGTCCAAGCTATACTGCTGGTATAATGAGAAGTGTCATGAAGTAATGACCTGTGTTTCTTTATTGATAGTATATTTACAGCTGTGTAACTCATTCGTGACAGTTTATGGGTATTCTTTCTCATAATGTTAAGCGTTTAAAGCAAAACTTTCTCATTTATTAACCCCCCTTAATTTATAACTTAAATTTAAGCTGTTAAATTCTGGCTTAATATACCTTTCTTTTGGAAGTGCAATCTAATTTTCATGAGGATGGTTAGTTTTTAGTTTCAGGACAATTAAGTTCTTTAAAACCTAGTATCATAAATATTTTATAGTAGAATATGGAGATATTTTAATAAATGTGTATGATTAACTTGGTTTTGGGATTTTAGGTTGAACTTTTAGTCAACATTAGTCTGGAATCATTAATAAAGTCAGGGGAATCTTTGACAGGTTTTTTTCATTAACATACGAAGCTAGTAATTTACTTTGTCTGGAAAATTTTTCAGGAATTTTTTGGAATTATGTTCTTTTTGTGAATATTTCTCTTCTCTTTTGGCTTTGCTTCTTTTGTTATTCTTCTTTAAGTTGGGAATTGATAGATAATGTGATGCAAAATATAGAAAAGTAGAAATCTGTCAGCGGGATTCTAGTCTTGACTTTATTTATTTATTAAATTTTTATTTATTTTTTGGTACCGTGAATCGAACTCAGGACCTTGCACTTGCCAAGAACGTGCTTGTGCCGCTGAGCTATATCCCCGGCCCTAGTCTTGACTTTAGAGATAATGATTTTAGAAAAGTTATTTCATCCCATTTTTCATGTCTGTGAAGTGGACAGAAGACCAGTACCACATTGTACTGGGTGAATGAATTCTCAAATCACATAGTGGACGAACACAGTGGTGTGCCAGGCATTCATAATTTGTTGTCCTGTTTATGGTTAACGTGAGGTGATACCTCATGGTGGCTTTAACTGGCATTTTTCTGTGATGCCAACAGGAGCATCTGTGCAGGAGCCTAGAGGACCGTAAGTGAAATAAAGCACGAGCCTGTCACAGACACTATACGATCTCACTTAAGTGTGGAATCTAAAAAGTTAAGCTCGTAGAAGTGGAATAGAATGATAGCCATCAGAGGATGGGGTCCGGGGTAGATAAGCAAAGGGCTAGATCTACAATAGAGTTGGTAATAACGTACTTAACATCTTAAAATAGCTAAAAACGAGGATTTCAAATGTCCTCACCACAAAGAAATGGTATCTGAGATGACAGATATGCTCATCAGCCTAATCTGATCGCTCCACAATGTATATACATTTATCAAAAATCACTCTACCCTAAAAACGTATACAATTATTATTTGCCAATTAGAAAGAAAACAAAACTTAAAAAATTCGTTATTCTACTGATTATAATAACTCTGTGAGATGATATGATTACTTCCATTTTAAAGTTAAGGAAACAGATTAATTCGATGCTTTTCCGGCAGTCCCACTATATTCTAGAAAAAGTGCGTCAAGGAGGTTAGGAAATTTCCTCAGGGCTCCTTCCATCGCACGTAGTAGCCTGACGCTGGGCCGGTGTGTGTCTTTCTCCGACTGCCCAGCTCTAAGAAGTCGCGCACTGGCTGCGCACCCTGTGCCGCCTGCGCCCTGCCGCCCACGGCAGAGCGCCCCTCTCTCTGCTCCCGTCTTCTCTTCAGCCCCCTTCCTTCCCTCTGCCCCGGGCACCTCTTCTCTCCCAGTTTTCTTCCGTTCTCTGCCTGGGCTCGCGTCGGTCCGCGGGTTATCCTGGTCCGAGTTAGCGGCGCACACACGCTTTGTCAGCAGCCCCAGGACGGGCAGGAACAAGGGCGGGGCAGGCCGTGCCTCTTTCCCACTTCACAGATGAAGTCTTTAAAACGCTTTGATCCGTAAAGGTTTACATTTTGTTTATGATTCACACTTGGAAAAAAACCCCAGAATTATGGGTAAAATTAACTGTGCCTTCTTTAGGAAGTTTCAGTTCTCTTTTCATCCTCCGAGTATTATTACACTCTACTCACCTGCTTACTGGTGAATGATTTACTCAGCGTCTACGTTGCGCCAGGTTCTGTGCTGCACGCTGCCTCTCCTTCCTGCGAAATACCTTCTTTATTATCTCATCACCACAGCGACAACCTTTGCTGAGGTAATTTTGCCTTAAACATCGGGCCAAGATCCTGACTGTAGGACGGGGAACCAGCCTGGGGTGGGGCCGCCCAGCTCTAGGCAGCTGTGGGTCTTTTGCCTTTGGTTCTCTATTCACCTGCTTTCTTTCTCTCTCTCTAAAGCCTGAGTTTCTTTCCTGCTGTGTCTGTGGAGGACAAATGTGGGGTTCTGAGTTTTTACATGTTCCTTACTTTCAGTCGCAGAGACCAGCTAGCCAGCCTGCTAGGAATTTGTAATCAAGATTCTCGTCTGGCTTCTTTCTTGATGTTTAACCACTGAGTTGCTTTTAAATCTCACCTCTCTTTTTCCTTTGCATGTGGGAGGCCGATTCAAAGGCTGTGAACTCATCATCCTCTTTGGTGCCCATGGGACCAGCATGGCCGTTCCCCAGCCCTCCTCCTCAGCCCCTGTAAAGGCCCAACCCGCTTTCTGTGCCTTGCCCAAGCAAGTTCAGAGGTGCTTGTGCCCTCCCTTTCTCCCCGGGAGTCTCTTGTGTAAATGATGAGCTTTCTCTAAAATCCTCCTGGTGCAGCGAATATCGTCAGCCTTGACCTTGAGTGGCGGCCCATCTTGCTTTGCAAAGGGGCTATGAAATATTCACTTGGAGTCGAGAACTCATCCTGGCCCAATCATGCATGCTGTAGTACAGGACAGTTGCTGAGCGTCCTCCTGTTTGAGGAGTGGAAAATTATCAGGAAAGGAGAATTTGAAAATTTATGGACCACAATATTTGTGGACCACTTACTCTGTGCCAGGCATTATTCCAGGTTAGTGACTCTAAAACTTGTATGTGCAGCAGGGTAATTTGAAGTGCTGTTTAGCCAGGGGGATGAGAATTTTGTGTTCTTAACAAGTTCCTAGGCAATGCCTATGGCCCAGGGATCGTACTTTGAGAGTGGCTGTTCTCAGCAAAGTGAGCAAAACATGGTAGGAGAAGGACATAGACAATGAATGTAGTCAGAAGTAAAGACCAGTATGTCAGAAGATGACAAGCCCTACAGAGAAAGTAGGGTGTGGAGGGGGGCGTTGGGAGTGTGAGGTGGGTGATCGGCACATAGATGACAGTACTGCACAGCACGATCTAGGAGGGTGAGATCTGAGCCAAGACTTGATGGAGCAGAGGGAGTGGCTATCTGAGGGAAGAGCATTCTGCAGGAGGAGTGGCTAGAACAAAAGCCCTAAGGTGTTCCGAAGTGTTTCCTCCATGCCTGGTGAACAGCAGGGAGGCCAGTGGGGCCAGGGCAAAGCGACCCGTGGAGAAGGGGAGGATGAGGCAGAGAGGTGCAAGATGAGGTGCTTATGGTGGTAGGGACTGGGTCATGCAAAGATTTCCAGGTTATTAGGGGGACTTTGGCTTTCACCTTGGTCTTCAGCAGTGATATGACATAATGTGAGTTCTGTTTTTAAGGGTTTACTTTGGCAGCTAAGTAGGGAATATACTGTAAGGGGCAAAGGAGGAAGCACCATTTCTTGCTTCTCTCCAATGAAAGAGGCAGGCGGCCTGGCCAGTGTGAGGGTGACTGATGTGATGAGAAGTGACCAGATCCTGGATATGTTTTGAAGAAAGCTAATGAGAGTTCCTGATGGAAAAGTGCAAAGTGAGAGGAAATATTCCAAGTGAATATTTAATAATATAGAACAAGTCTAAGGCATTTGCTGAGCATTTGGTTTGTTTGTTTTTTATTTTTCTTCCGGTACCAGGAATCGAACTCACAACCTTGTACTTGCCAGGCAGGCACTTTGCCACTAAGCTAAATCCCCAGCCCCTTGCTGAGCATTTGGAAGGAGAGCATTGCCATGGACTGAATTGGGGAAGGCTGTGGGTGGTGTAGTTTTGGTCAAGTGGTGATCGGCAGTTCAGTTTGGAGTAGGTTGGGTGGGGCAGTGACTTAAGCCGTATGAATCCGGAGGTGAGGGAGGAGTTCGGGAAGGATTTGAGCGTAGTTACGTGATAGTTAGAACTACAGGACTGGGTGGCATCACGAAGGAAATGAGTGTAGACAGAGAGAGGAGAGGGTCAGAGGCTGAATGAACCTGAGGCAGATCAGTGCCAAGAGCGGGAAAGAGAGCAGGAATGCGCAAAGGCAACTGAGAGGGGATGTGGGCTTTGAAGACAAAGAGAACCCAGGGTTGTGGAAGCTGAGGGAAGGGCCCATCCGGAGGAGGAGGAGGAGGGTCTCTTGCACTTCATTACTTCTTCAGTCCTTTAGCACTTCTTTCTCATGTTAACTTCACCCCCTTTTAAGATTTATTTTGCATAACACTACCAGGTTAGCTATCCGTGAACATGCCTCTGTCATGACACTCCTCCGCTGAAAACCCGCTAGGCCTCTGGAGTTCATAAACCTCAGTGTTCATGTGGCGTCTTTTCTTGTTTTGCAACATCCAGTAATTGAACAAATAACACTAGTTTTGGAGGGATTTACCGCCTTTTAAGATGGAAGAAGAGTCAGTTGCAGATGCGTCAGTCCTCTTACATGTCATCTGTTATTTTCCGTGGTCAATCTTAAAATTACACGGTGTGACAATGTAGTCCAACTCTTACTTGACAGATACAATCCAGAGACATCCATTGTTTACCAGTCTAAGACTTGGCTCTGCTACTTTTACTATATATGAAATTCGCGTGCGACAGGACTCTATCAGGTTGTGTATAAAAACTCAACCTCGCAATACCCCCAGTTTTCTCATCCACAACACAGGGGGAGTAAGAGAGCTCGCGTCACAGAGCTGCAGTGAGGACTCAGTATAACCATGCGTGTAAAGTGTCCAGGACTTGACGTGTAAACGTGGTTTTCATGTCTCTTGGACAGAAACCCTGACCCACTTCAACCTCTCCGTCGTATGCCCATTTCTCTTCAAACTTGGACCCATGTCTCCACTCTCTCCTTCCCAGATTCTGTCGCAACTGTGTTACTCAGCTCCGTGTCCCCCTGGAAGGCTTCATTCTGTTTTCTGAAGCCTTCACAATGATTATGTTACTCTTTGTAGATTTTCTATGGTTTCAGGCGGCTTATGCCTTTACCTTGATCCCTGCCAGTTACACGGCGTCTGAAACTATCTCTAATTTTTGAAGAAGCTATGCCTCTAGCGCTAAGCACAGAGGAGAAACTCCATAAAAGTTTACTGAGGAGCAGCTCAGCTGGTGGGTTGATTATGAAGAACTATGTGGTAGATTAGAAACCTTCTGGCCTTGGAGTGGAGAATATTCCAGTAACATGTCATTTACACCCTTAATTCAATTAATGCATTTGTACATGACCCCTTACCTATTTCCGTGAAGCAGCACATACCTCATTTGGTGAGGTTTCATACTGTTATATATGCATTTAAATAGAATATGCTTTAAGAATCATATTTAAATAAATACATTCTCCAAAGGAAATAGGTAAGCTGATAATTTTTTTTTCCTAAGCTTCTAATTGTCATCAGTGGAATGGTTTATTTTGCCTAATGTTGAGTTTGTTAATCCTGAAAGATACCATGACTTCTTAGAAAGCATTTCTGCTTTATTCTGTACTCTTTTCAGCGGTGAACTTTTTGTTGAACAAAAGCTCTGAAAGTGTCAGTCAAAACAGGGAAAAGAATGAAGTCTTTCTCACATATTGAGTTTGGGAAATCTGATTGTTTCTCTTGGAACAGATTGTTCATTATAACAGTATCTATAATAAATGGAGTGCACTGCCGAGATAGATGAAAATGAAATTAATTTGGCTCGGATGTGATCTTTGTTTTGCTTATGAGGATTTAAAACATCCTTACAGAGTTTCAAATTTCCATGCAATTTAAAAAGAAAAGAGATTCCGGAATGTGTCTGTCTCCCTTGCCAGTGGCTGTCGTTCCCTCAGTGTCGCTCTGTCAAACAGAGCAGCGAATGTGAATAAGTAGGTATGAAACTTGAATGTGATCGAACCCTTCCAGTATGCTTGCCTAAAATATGAATTTCTCAAATCCAAACATCACATGCACTCGTGCTGTTTTTTGTTGCAGGTTGCTTATCAGATTGGCCACTATGAGTTGGCTAAGAAAGTTTTCTCACCAGTTTGGGATTATTTCGTTGCTTCTCCATCTCAGGATGAGCAGTCCTGCGTTTGTTTAAGCAACACAATGATGATTACACAAAGAAGGTAATTAGACATTATTTTAAGGTATTGATATACATTACTGAAAATACAGATGTTGGCTCAGTGAAGATGAGAATTTATTTTCAGTTTCATGATAAGATAGCCCTTGTGAAACTATTTCTATCAGAATTGCAGTAGGAGCATATACATTCTGATATCCTGAGTTCTTGCTAGAATCATAGAAAACAGTGAAGGTGTGTACGTGAAGGTTCTGGACCCAAAATACCAAAGAGTAACCAAAGTGGTATCAGCTATGCCAGGAAACACAAATATTGCATGGAGACTTTCATAAAGAAGCTGCCGGCTGTCTTTTGACCTTGCTGCTGTGTTTCCTCAAAGAAACAAAGCTTAAGAACAGGTTCCCAAATGACCATTAGTATAATTTCAGGCTGATGCAACACAGAGTTCAAAACAAGCATTTTCCTGGTTTGTTAATGCCTGAAATGTCTTTAATAAGAAGCCTAAACCCATCACTTCTCAAAGATAATGAGCTTAAAGATACAAATGATGGTTGAAGCAAGGTATTGATAATACATATTTGCATTACAAGTGTCATTCCATTTCAATTAAACAAAAGCGGAGTTAGTATTTAGCACATGCGAGGATGCTGGGTTTGGGGGAGGGGAGCGGAGGACATGACAGCATTTTAGAAGTGGGAGATAGGACTTTGGATTTTGTATAGCTGGTGGGTTAAGAGAGAGAGTGAAAAGTGACTGGAATTCCTATTGTTGGTGGACGGGGAAGCCTGTGATTTTCTAAGGGGACAAGAGAGGCTGCATATGCATTGGAGGAAGATAGTGAATTTGATCGTGAGCATATTTTGAATTTGGATACCTTTGTGGATATGAGATACCAGGAGATGCATTCAGATCGTGCTGAGATTCAGGAGGAAGTCTAGGGTAGAGGCAGGGATTTGGATATAGTCTGTGGAGGTCATCATTAAAATCTTCAAAAGGAACACTGTCTCTCAGGGAGTGACTGGCAGAAAAGATAGAAGGCTGGGACAAACCCTGAGCTTTGCTTCCATGTAAGGGGCAGAAACAAGAGCAGGAACCAAGGAAGCATATCACAAGTGGGCTGCCCAAGATATAAAAATCCAGAAAAATGCGTTGCCAAGGGAAGTTAATAGTATCTTCAAGAGGACTGACCGGGCAAATCCGATTCCAGCACAAGGTCCCATGCAACACAATGCCACAGAGAAAAAGTTGAGGAGGGTGAAAACTAAGAAGGAGCGTTTAGAGTTAGCAAGCAGGAAGCCATTGGTAAGTTCAAGCGAGCCATCTCTGTGGTGGGAGGGGCCAGAGTCACTTTGCCGTTGGCCAAGGAGGAAGTGGAATTGGAGAATCACAACGAGCAAAGACACATAAAGCTGGGTGGTAGAGAGAAGAAGGAAGGAACAGCGCCCGGAAGAGAAGACGGGGCAGGGAAGAATTGTGGAGAATGGAGGTTAGGGAGCCAGGGCAGAATGAGAGACTAAATACACAAAACAATTCAGGAGGTGGAGACACCGCGATGGAAGCGCTAGGAGGGCGTAAGAGCATGTGGAGCAGAGAAAGAGGGAGGGGTTTGGAAAAGTTTCTATGTGAACTGAACAAAAGGACATCCAGGGGAAATAGATGTGTTATTCAGAAACATTCATGAGCTGGGCGTGGTGGCGCATGCCTGTAATCTCAGCACCCAGGAGGCTGAGGCAGGAGGATCGTTGCAACTTCGAGAACAGCATGGACTACAGAGTGAGCTCAAGGCCAGCCTGAACTGCGTAGCAAGACCCTATCTCAAAAAGACAAAAAAAAAAAAAGAAACACTAATGACTCAGCTGATATCATATAACACAGATTTGCAGGGAAGCAGAGGACCTTAATGGGTAAGGGCTCCTTTGCTTCATCTTTATATTCTAGGGCCAAGAATGCTGACCTGCACACAGTAGGCATTTACCAAATGCTAATTTGAATGAATAAATGAAAAAATGAATAAGTGATTGTTGTGGCAGGAAGAGAAAAATGAGACAGTGGCAGCTCTACAAGGCAGGCAAATTGATTATTGCACGGAATGAATAGGGAAGAGAACTTACAGCGCTAGAAAGGTTACTTTTGGGAAGACTGCAGGGTAGGGAGGGAAACGGAGCCCGGAAGTAGTAGAATGCACCAAGCGCGTGGGTCAAGGTGCTGATGGTCACCAGGAAGGACAAGAAATTTTAGTATCAGTTGGAGGGGTGGTGAACCTAAGGTTTTCCTGGAACAGAGAAGTTCAGAGTTCAGGCTGGTGGCGGTCATCTGCACGCGTGAGTTATTGCTACCGAATCTTCTCCTGTTTTGTGGAGATTGGTAGGAGACAAAATGATGGCGCTGAAGCCTTGGAGTGAGGTTTGTCTCCAGCTGAGGGCAAGAGAAAGAATATTGCAAATAAAAAGAAGAGTGCAGATTCCACAGCTTCACCAGTAGTTGGCACTGTTGACAGCAAGTTAGGAAAGATAATTGAAAAGAATCTAAGAGTTATGAAGTCTTTGTTTCTTTAACCATAGCCGAGCGTGCTGTAAATGACCCTTATTTTTAGAAAGTTCATTCATTGAAATGTTGGCCTGTTTTTCAATCCTACAATGGTTTTGTTGAATTGATAGAAAATAGCTATATATATAAGAATCAGAAATCTTTCACACTAGATTTTTTTTTTTTTTGTGACCTACTGTTTGTGCAGCTTCACTTTCTTAGTTGTGGACTTAAGGATAACCTTAAATTTTAATTTAAACAGAGGAATAAGAGTAGTTATTCTATACATTTTTGTTGCTCTTGTAGATGCCAAGAAAAATGAATCTAAAGAGCTGGATTCACAGGCCAAGTGAGTCATACATTTCTACCTGTAATATTGTTTCCTTCTCTTGCAGGTTACATTCAGATATTTTGGCAGAGACTTCTTCTATCCTCTTATACCTTTTTCTTAGAAATATCTTTGTAACGAGTGACATTAAAATTAAAGAAGAAAATCTTTTCTGTGATAATATTAAAGGCAATGAGATTTTCCCTGCTCAACAAGTAAGTGAATTAAAGTGACTAAAAAAATGTCGGTTTCACTGTATTTGCTTCTTGTTGTTTCAGGTTTGTGTTCTTGTGGGATTGTGTATCCTGTCTTGTGAAGGGACAGAGAGGCCGTAGGATGAATACATTGCTTTACTTTGATATTCTCTGTAGGGTTCCAAGGCCTGAGTTCATGTTTCCTTTTTCTTTTTTTCTCAATTTATCTTTTTCTCTGTATATGAGAATAGTATATATTTCAGAATTCAAAACCATATAATGTATAAAGTGAAATGCATTGTAATTCTAGCACCTCTGAGGACATTATGAGTTCATTTTCACATAATTTCTCTGATTTTTGAAAGTTTGCGCCTTGATCTACTTGCTGTTCTGCACATTGCCTTTTTAGTATCTTTGTTTGTTTGGAGACAGGGCTGTGCTGTATAGCTCAGCCTAACCTTGAACCTGCAAACCTCCTGCTTCAAGAATGTGCCACCAGGCCTAGCAGCAACACTTTTATATCTTGGACATACCTTCAATGCTTCTATAGGTCAATCTGCGACATACTTTTAATTAAAGTATTGCATTCTTATGCAGAGGCAGGAATTGAACTATTTTCTATTGATAGCTTCTCATGGTGATTATAAACATCACTCTAGTATATCTGCAACTCTATAATTCTTTTACTTTTAATAATAATCCTACATTTTGTTTTCATTCTGTCTCTTCATTCTTTCCCTTTCCTTGTTTACTTACTTTAGACATGGAGGTTTTAACTATTTTTTGTTGTTGTTTTTTCCTGTTTCTCCATTCACTGATTAATTAGTTGTTACATGAGGCAAGGCCAGATGCTGGGATATGAAAGTGGAATTGTGGAATTGCTTAATACAAGTTTACGGTCCCGTAGCCCCCAAATACTCAGCAACTATCAAACTGCTCCTTTTGTCACCGGACAGGGTCAGAGGAGGTCCCTTAACTAAGAGATGGGTACCTCAGCTCGCCCTGCCACATAGGTTCTTGACTCTCATCACAGAAAAAGAATTTCCATGACTCATCAATGTGAGGTACAGGCAAATTTATTAAGCAGAATTAAAAGGAGGGAGAATGTGGTGGAGAAGGTCAGAATGGCACACTCACAGAAGCACGAGGTCAGCTTTTAAGGATTAGCTGAGGTGGGTCAGGTTCCATTTGATCATTATCTCAGTGTGGACTTCATAGCTCTGAAGGAATCCTTATGGCTTGAGGGGCAGTTTGATTCCCATGGGATGACTATTTATGCTTGGGAGGGGTGACCTCATCATGGGGTGGACTGTGAGGCTCTGCTTTTACTGGAATCTGAGGTAATTGTTGGTGTTGCTCCAGGGGAGTCTGGAACTGCACACTGTTTACAACTGGGAATTGGATGTCTCTGGAAATTCTGAAAGTCACTTTAGTTTTATCTCAGTCTCCTCAGTCTTAAAGGGGAATGAAATAGACTAGGTAAATTTAGAGCAAATAAACCTTGTGAAGTAGATACTCCTTGAGTGTTTAACATGCCCCGTACAAAACTGAGCAAGGATCTGACCCAAAGTTTTATGACAAATAAGATAAAATTCTGAGTTCCTTGTTTCTTTTTAACCTATCTTCATTTATTCTGTCCTACCTCATTCCTACATTGCATTCAGTCTTTTTTCATCATATCCAGTCTGAAAATAAAGGCAATTTAAAAGTTCTTCAGTGAATTCCAGAATGTTAAACTATCATTTCAGTAAAACCAGTTGTATAAAAATTTCTGATTACCACATGTACAGTTTCCTTTGTGAATAACGTTGTATAAAGAAATAGAAAAAATAATAGTTTTTTTCTCACGTAAGGGGAAGGAGAAGAGTTTTTGTTCTTTTTAAATTTGTGTTTAATTTCAATACCATAACGTTACTTTTTACTATCATTTCTATTTAAGTAGCAAATAATGAAAGATTCGTTTGGTTTACTGAAAGCTTACTGTATTTTTTGTTATAATATATGCTTTTGAAAACCGGACTTGTTTTCTAACATTAATATACTGTATGGGAAAGATTTTCTCTTATCAGGGTGACTAGTGCTACTTGTATTGTTTTATAAAATATCCTTATTTGGTTTTAAGATTGTGTTGCTTACATGTGACATTAATGTGGACTTGTTTGTGAATTTAGGTTTTCTTCATACTAACGTCCATGTTGTTGGTAAGACACAAAGTTCACATTTCCTACCCTTTCTTCTCCTTAGAGACTCATTTAGTTAAGCACCTGATGTTCAGCTCAAGTAACAATGCCTGTTTCTTTACAGATTGCTAGACTGATGGAATGTGAGAGGGTGTTAGTGGCACTGGAACTTAGCAATTTCCTAAATGATTCTAGTTATGCCCTTCAAGCTGTGACTCAATGCTATGGCCTTCTTGCTCCTATAATATATCATAATATTGCTTTGGTACCTGTTGTACAGGTAAGGTTATGGTCCACCCCCAATAAGCATCGTTTTTTAAAAACAAAAGCAATTAAGTGATTCATTTTAGAAAAGACAAGCTGTATATCTCTTGAAAAGAACAAATTAGGTCAAGAGTAAGTATTATGAAATTTTGGGAGTTAACTGGAGAACATTTTAACACATTTTATGTCTTGGAAAACATAAATAGGAATAGAAGATGTGTTTCTCTGAAAACATTCAGCCCTGTTGCTGTTTATGGTTAAATATTGTTAAAGCATATCATTAAAGCCATCATCAGGGGAAAGTAGAGATAATGAGAATAACCTAACATAACATACTTGATAATGGAGGAGTTGGGATTAGTGGAAAAAGGGTTGATCCGGCTGAAGGAATTATATTTATTATACAGTAGTACCTCAGTTCACATACTTAATTTGTTCCATGTTTCCAGTCGCGAACCAAATCAAATTTCCCAGTAAGGTTCAATGACAGCCAAGGTGGAGTTCATGAACCACTGCAAAATTTTGCCAAATGCTTCTGCTTGTGAACTGAATTACTTGCAAACAGAAGCACTTGTGAACCGAGGCATTACTGTGTATGCTTTTAAAGAAATCACTGTAAATTTAGAAGTTTAAGAGAGTAACCATTTATTATCTTGTAGTTTCTATGGATCAGGAGACTGGAGACAGTTTAGTTGGGTCTTCTGTTTTGTATCTTACCAGGCTAAGTAAAGGTGTTGGCCAGGGTTGTGATTTTATGTCTTCTTCTTTTTTTTTAATTTAAAAAAATAAAAGAAGGAAAACAATTTTTTTTTTAATTTTAAAAAATAAAAGAAGGAAAACATATGTAAGTCTTGTCTACGTCCTTTTCCAAGACCCCTGGTTGAGATGGCATTCCCAGGCAATGGGAGGAGAATGGACATTTTTAATAAATGATGGCCAAACACCTAGGTTTCACCTGAAAGAAGGTGGAGTTTAACCTCTGTTTGTACTATATTTATATGTAAAATAAAGCAAAAACATTTAGAGAAACAAATTCTCAACAGATGACTTGTGCCGTGCAGGGTTTGAAGTGAGGCAGAACTTCTAAAACAAGAAACCTATGTGTGTGACACACGGGACCATAACAAAGATTATAGAGAACTTACAGATTTGGAAAAAAACCCCAAAACTGATGAAGGGTAAAAAAATCTTGCAAACTGATCTAACCTAATAGAAATAACATAATAGAAAAATGAAAATAGGGTATAAATAAGTAGGTCTTAGGAGAGTAAATCCAAGAAACATATGAAATGTTGCTCAAACTGAATGTTCATAGAAATGCACACTAAATTAACAATACAGTGAGATCTGTAAATCCTATTGCTGGGGAAAATGTACAACAAAGGCATTTTCATTTATGATGGGTGAAATGTGAATTATTCCAAACTTTGGGATTTCAGTTGAACAACTTTAATTTTAATTACAGTAAATCTAATTTTAAACAATACTAAAAACAAATACACCTGACACGGTTATTCCTCTACTCGTAATTTATCTCATTGAATAAAATCTTCATGAAATTAAAAATGTTTATCCATCAGAGCAATCCCACTATAGGTTATTTATCCCACAAAATAAAGTCACCAGTATGTAAAACGCTATTCCTTGTTGCACTCTTCGTGTCCTACATCCGTGTGTTCTGTTTGGTGGGGACTCGGTGCCATGTAATAGCATTGATCTAGAGGAACACTGTAGCCCAGAGGATGGTGCTTGTCCTCAGTGCTGTCGGGGCTGGGTCTTCAGTCTCCACCCACAGTTGTCACCTGAGTATGTGGAAGGGGTTTGGGGTGGCAAAAAGCTGGTGATGCAAAGGCACAGTAGTGCCAGACTGTGAGACAGCAGCCATTAAAGTGCGCCGTGTGAGTCAAGAGCTGCATATATTAGGGTTGATCCGCACCCAGTGATGTTATCAACAGTAAGTTAGAGCTGTTCCTATAGATTTGGAGGAACTTTCCAGAAGACAGGCTTGAAGGAGAAAGGCAGAAGTCAGAAAAATGTGTAGAAGTTCCATTTTGCAAAATCAGGGCACCCTTCCTCGCATGTATGTTTGTGTGCATGTGAGATTATATGAACTTTAAGAAAACTAGTGGGAGGGTGTTAGCCTGATTTGGGGATATGGTGGTACCGTGGCAGGGGGTGTTCATGGAGGGGAGGAATGGAAAACACATTAAAAATAGCCACCAGCGCCCTGCAATAATAATACTATGGCCAGAATTGTAGCTTGAGGCAATTAACGTGCCTCGGAAGACTAACATCCACGCATTAATATGTCCTTTGGGATCATCTGAATGATGAATAGATTGCTGCAGTCTTAGCACTACTTTTCTGATAGTAATATTGCTCAGAAGTGTGCAGCGGTATTGAAAGTTAAATTTAATCGTCAAGCTCTTGATCAAATTCAAGGCTGTATAATATAAAGCAAAGAGAAGCGGAAGTAAACACCAATATTAACTGATTTTTGGGGATATGAATGTTTGGTTTTAATTTTAAGCAAAAGTATTACCTCAAGCATCTGGAATCACTGTATCATATTTACTATGCCATGTAATCCTGTGTAAGGTTTTTGAAGATTCTCCTAAGCCTGAATGTGATCTTTAGCTTCTTGTATGCTTGCAATATTTAGCCTATGTCATTTTTAACACTTGTCAAAATGTGCTTGGTTTTATGGTTATTCTTATACTATAGTCTTCACTAGTTTTTAATTTACTTAAGATGAATGCTCATCTGAAAATTGAATATATCAACTTTATTTATGTACATTCTTTTACATATAATAATTTATAAATAATTACTGATAACAATAAAATTTTATGGCAAAGAATCACATGATTTTTTTATTTTTGTTTTTTTGAGACAAGGTCTCACTTTGTAGTTCAGGCTGGCCTTGAATTCACTGTGTAGTCCAGGCTGGCCTCAACTTGCAGTGATCTTCCTGCCTCAGCTTCCCAAGTGCTAAGATTATAGGCTTATACCACCATGCCAAGTTATGAGACTCACGTTATTTGAATATAAAATTTAAATGAGTAAAGATGATATTTTACCATGGAAATCATTGTGCTTCTATATTTTAGATCTTGATAAAATGTGTAGTGGTTTTGCAAGGACTGCCAAATATTGTCTACTTGAAGAAAAATATTTCAAGTTTTGAAAGTGTACAGCACATGATAGCTTGTTGTATCTTCTATTTAACAAAGGTACTGTCTCATTTCTTGTCTAATGTCATAAAATGTAGGAGCAGTAATGATTTAGAAAGTCAAACTGTTTCTAATCACAGTAATTAGAATGCTTAAAAATAGCACCCCTAAGCATTTTTAGACAAACACAAATGTAAAATCTAAATGTTACAGAAAGGTTGTCTATGCTGAACTTTTTGATAAAATTATGGTGCTTCCAGAACTAAAATTGTATGCTTCTAAAATGATATTTGTATGTTTTCTAGGCATTATACAGTCGTATAGAATGTATGCTTCTGAAACCCTGAAACATTAATCACATAGTTATTATACTGCAGTCAACCTGTACATCTTCTTGTCACAGGCTGTAAACTCGGGAGACTGCAGGGCAACATGAAGTTTCTCCCTCAGGAGTGGAGTTAGGGTGCTGAGGCTTAGACGGTGTCCGTAGACCAAGCCATGGGATAAAGATTAATGGCTCAGTCTGTAAATGCGGACATGCTAATCTTGTGAGATCAGAATGTAAAACACAGTGTTAGGCCTGAAGGCCAGGGCAGACAGTGTGGACTCTGAAGTATGACTCTGAGTCGGTGTACAGGACTCTGAACGCAGTGGAGGATAAACTGTAGAGACAAATTTAGACTCTACCGATTACGAGCCATATATCCAGAGATTTAAGCCAAAAAAGAAAACATGGGTGAAAGTGATGAGTATAAGCTGGTTTTTCATTTTTATTTTATCCCTTCATTCCATACATTCACTGATTGCCTATTTGTGTCAGGTACTGTTTTGGACATTTGCCATGTGCTTAGAATTCAAATTAGAATTAGGAAAAGAATTAGAGAGGACCTCAAAGTAGTTGTAGGAATTGAAGAATGAATCATGGATGCTATGATTCCTAGCTTGGATAGCGAATGGTTGGTGGGGACACAAACATGGACGCAGAAAGATCACTAAGGGCTGGGGCGACTGGATAAGGCATCGCCTAGAAGATGAGACTTCGATATGCTCTGAGCAAGAGTTACAAACTCACACGCATTGAACTCCGTGAAAACGAAACAAAAGCAACAAACCAGCACTTCACAGAGCTTACGGTTTAGTGGGAAAGACAGAAAGCAAATGCACACATCATTCCACGAAGCTTAAAGTGTCATAAGCAGAAAGGAAAGCAGTAAAAGGAGGGAGGTCTCTGGGCTGGGCCTACGTTAGATGGGATGACCCTGCACAGGAGGAAGAGCGGAACTAATCTCATGTGAGAGGACCAGCCTTGCCGGTGCAGGGTGTGAGGAATCACGCCAGCAGATGTACTTGGAGACTCAGCTAGTTTAGATGGGGTCAGCCATTCATGTGGAACGCTAGGTTTGTAGCCTGTTGAGAGTGATCAGAAGAGGTCTAATCATCCATAGGTGTACCTAGTGTTGTTTGTAAAAGGAATCAGCTGAGCCCCACATATATGATTTTGCTTATTTTAGAAATATGTGTGCAGTCGAAACAGCTAAGTTCATTTCAGCCTTTACTTGATGAAAGAATTAGTAGGGAAACGTTACTGTAGCTCAGACGCTGTGGGAAGACTTTGTTTTAAGGTAGAGAAGGAGGAGTCTGAGTAGAAGGTAGTTTAAGTACACATTCCTGTCTTTTTTTGAATTCTGATTTCAAGATATTAAAATAGCTTGAGCAGGCCCATTGGCAATGCCTGGAGAGGGGTGTGTTAGGCCAGGTTACCTGGGGCAAAAGCACCTTAGGGAAACTTGTTTACCTTGGAAACTAGAAAGAACCAAAAGACCAGAGGCAGAGACATGGGCTTATTTATCCTCATTATTTGGCTCAAAAACCATATGGTGTGGTTCATCAGAGGTTGGTAACAGAATGTAATGAATCTCCTCAAAGAAAAGCTGTCCATCTCTTCCTGCCTGTTGTATGTGGTTCTCACAGGGCCTTTCTGATTTGTGCAGAGGTCTGGAAGAATGCTGTGTAGGTGAGCTGGGGGGCCTGTAACTTCAGGTGGGACTTCACTGTGCCTCTGTGAGGCTGTGGCAACAGACCAGCTTCTGCCTCCTAATTTAGGAAAGGAGCCATTGTTTTCTGGCTGTTTCTGGTGTGACTTCAAGGGCAGAGAACAATACTCCTTTGGCCTTCAGTTTATCGCTGTTGGAGAGACCTTGATGACCACTACATCTATGCAGATGCTGAGGGAACATAAGCCATTAGCAGGGAAGCTCAGTACCCCCAGGGTGAGAGAGCGAGCCAAACACAGCATAACTGTGTTATTTTCTCTGGCTATGTTGGCAAGTATCAGAGATAACCTGGGGTTAAAAAAAATAGGCAGAGAGGACTTTTATGGACATGCACAGGTGATCCAAAAACCAATCAGAGAAAATAACTTCCGTAACTGAAGAAATTTGAGTTTTGATTGAAAAAATTAAACAGCTGAAAATTATGGTTATGATATTTCCTGAGTCAAATCTTGAAGCTCAAGAAATGCCACATGGTTCAGAGCAGTTACTGAGATGCCAGATAAATTCAGAAGGCAGATCCACAAGTGAGAACATAAAAATAATAGGAGTCTGGAGGCAGAAAAAAACAAAACAAAACAAAAAACCAAAAACAAATGGAGAAGGAACAGGCTCTTTGAGTCCCAAGCAGGATTAATTTAAAAAGACACCTGTAGAGAAATGGTGAAATTCCTGAAGTCAAGGATAAGGACGAATCTTAAAGTTTTGAGACTCAAGGAACAGATTGCTTGCAACAGAAAATGAATCAATTAGCTTCAAACTTTTTATCAGCAACAGTACAAGTAAAAACACTGACATTCCTGAGGGAAAATACAGAGGCTCAAAAATTGCCAGGAAAGATATTCATTTGTATGGACAAAATAAACAGTTTTTAGAAGCACAGGCATTTGGAAAGTATTCTGCCCATGTACTTATCTGAGGAAAACACTTGAGGAAACACTCTATCAAATGACAATTGATTCAGAGCAGAAATCCCAAGGCAGGGAAAGACAAAAAGGAGAGGAATAATGGGAGCAATGAATCTTGCAATATATGTTATTAAAATTAAATAGATAATAATGACATGACTAGGACTTTGTAATATAAATGCTAAGTAGGGATTCTTGAAAGAGAAGAATCATCCTTGAAAGAAAAACTTATTAGTAACCTAGAACTAAAACTTCCATTCTGCTTAGAGTGGGGGGAGATAGAAGCAGGTAGGCTCTTGGAGTGTGTCCGTGTGTTTGTGTGCAAACACAAATATAAAAATGCATGTAGTTTAATATTATCATTTTCTCTGAAAAATATAACTCAGGAATGTGCCACCGTAAGCAGAACTTATCAACTGACAGGGAGAACAGAATGAATAAGAGGGAAGGAAGAGTCTGGGGATGTAGCTCAGCAGCATAAGCACCTGCCTAGTAATTGCAAGGTCCTGAGTTTGATTCCCAGAACCAAAAAAAAAAAAAAAAAAAGGAAGTAGGAAGAGGAAACAGGAACAGGAAAAAATGGGAGGGCAGAAAAATGACCAATTGAGCAAAAGTAAAAAGTAGGAGAAAGAAATAATATTTAAATGAGAACATGCTCAGGGTTGAGCATTAAAGACCAAGTGAGGCCCTGATTTGGTCCCTAGTGCTACAAAGAGAGAGAAAAAACCCAAGTCTGAATTGAAACAAATTTTGAATTTTTTTACAACAGTAATTTAGAATAATAAGATTATATGAAAAATGCCATGAAGGCATTTGATAATACTTATCAACCTTTCCTAATAAAATTTCTAATAAGTTAGGGATGGAAGGAAGCTGTTGAATAATGACAAAGACATTTACCCAAATTTTATTGCAAATATCATACTAAATGGCAAATTTCTGAAGCCATTTCCTTAAAAATCAGACACAGGAAAGATGCTGACTCATAGCAGTGAGATTCTGTGTTTTCAGGGGTTCTCTCTTCTGTCAGATATGAATAGGAAATAACTTTGTAATGTTAGAAATAAAAGTCTAATTTATTTGTAATTGTAGAGGTTCACAGAACCCCATAAGAATCTAGTAAAAGTTATTAGAATCGTAATGAAAATATATAAAGTAATTGTATATGAGACACTTATAAAGTGATTTTTTAAAAATACTAGCAACAGCCACTTAGAAATGGAGTCGGTTAAATATACCAAGTATAGTATGCAGTATTTAAAACTTTTTTTTTTTTGTCTTCTTTTTTGTTGTTTTTTTTCCAGTACCGGAAATCGAACTCATGACCTCACGCTTGCCAGGCAGGCACTGTGCCGCTGAGCTAAATCCCCAGCCCAGTATTTAAAGCTTAAAGTGTCAAAGAGCTGAATGAAAGAACTGTGAAATCTTACCCAAGGATACAAAATAAAATTTTAACATATCAAGTTCCTGATCAGGAAGATTTACTGTCATAGACGTATAACCTCTTCTAAAATAACATTGAAACCTGATGCAGTTCTAATCAGAATTCCAATAGATTTTCTCTGGAACTGATTAAAATAATTTAAAAGTTCTTAATAGGTATGAACATATAAGACCACCTTAATCAAAATGGCATTAATATTAGAATAGTAGGCAAATAGCGCAGTGGAACAGATTAGAGAATAGAGCAGTAGCCCAAGTCTACAGAAGACATTAATATATGGCAAAAGTAGCAGTGTGATTCATTGTGAAAACAGTAGTCTATTTTAATAGTTTATTCAATGAAATAACTGGTACAACTGAATCAGTTGGTATAACTGACCATCTGAAAGGAAACAAGGCCAGAGCCCTGCCTTACATCACAAATACAATCAAGTTCATCTGGATACAAGAAATTTGTATGGCCTTAGGATCAGAGGACATCTTCCTTACCGAGGCGTAAAATGCCCAGAAAAATGTAGATAATCAGGTTACAGATAGCAAAAAGCTTTTCATAGCAAGCAGAGTAAACAAAGTTTAAAGGCAAATGTAGTGAATGATGAGAAATATCAATTTCATAGCTTGTGAAAAGAGAATCAAATGTATCTTTAGTCCTAGTGGATGTGATTAAGTGTTTGAGTTGCCTTTAAAGCTGAATCAGTGAACAGGTACCAGGTGATGAAGGGGCATTGTCTGAGGTTGGACAGGAGCCACTAAAAGGTTTCACACCGGGATGACATGATATTCTTTTAGAAAAAAGAAGTTATTCTGGTTACACAACAGCTAGTCATCAGAGGTGGGTAAAACCTGAGCCCGCGGATGAGGTGGAAGGTAAGAAATGATAAACTGAACAAGCATGGAAAAAATGGGAAGTAGAGAGAATGGAAAAAGACTCAAAAATTATTTATGAATGAGAATTGGAAAGGTGGGAATCTTGGTAGTATGAGGGGTAAAGGCAGGGAAAGGAAGGGCCAACTGTAACACCCAGCTACTTCCTAGAACCCAAGTAAACACAACACTTTTTGTTGACCCTGTGTGAGAGAAGTTCTTTTGGTAAAGTAGAAGAAGATGCCGGTAGGGCAGCTTGAATTTTGAGGTGTACAGGATTTCCAGTGTGGTTGGCCTTACAGGCCTGGAGTTTGAGAGAGACTAAGTATGTGTGAAAATAAAGGAGTCATTAAGAGATGGTAGGCAATGAGTATGCCCCCCTCTTTGACCAATCACTACAGCAGGGTGTATGAAAATCAGATTGCCGGCCAGGGAAGCTTTCTGGGAGTTGAGCTTAGGACCAAGGTTCTAATGGCAAGGTGAGGTGTGTCAATCAGGTGAGAACAGGAATCCTGGGAAATGGCTCAGCCATGGGAAGCTATGGAGTCCTGAAACACAACACTTCCTTCATGGCTTTGTTTCAATGTGGATTTTTTTGAATGCAAATATTTTCTTAAATAGTTAACTTAACATACCAAAAAGCATATAGCTGTATGGCCCAAGGATGTGAGAATTCATTTATGATGGTCTCTTGTTATTCACCCTTTATTATAATAGTGGAATTGTATATTTTTAATTTGAGAGCAATATGATCTAGAGGTGAATGTTCAGTTTCCTTAACAAAAACAGAGGGCCTTTTAGACCTCAAACACTTAGGAGACTTTGGAGTTTGTGAAAGATGATGCATTGTGCTTGAAAATTGTCAAGAGTACCCCACAGAGATAATTAATACTTACTTTTAATTAGATTCTACGTTCATGGAAGGAATATGACCTAGCAGTAATGATTATAAATTATGGAAAAAAAATGTTGGACATCACGCCAGCATGCAAATCTGTATTTGGCAAAAGTGAACAAGAAGACATACAAGAGGAGGTAATTGCTTTTTGTTTCTTGTTTTTATACACAGTTGGGGTTTCAGAGGTCATTTAGTATAAGTACAGATATTGGAGAATTGATCAGTTTTTGATTTGTCAATAAGTAGAAGAAAAGTAACACGGTTAAGAGATTTTGGATTTTTAAACATTTTTTGAGTTGTGGTGAAAGAAAGGTTACATGTATGATGAAGAGCTTTTTTAAAATTCTTTTACGTCTTGTGGGTGTGCCAAGAAAGTGAACAGGGCATCTGTGTGAGCGTGTCTTGTCACCTGTCACCTGTGTAGACCATCAGTGAGGTGGTGATAGACAGCTTCCTGTACCCAGGTAGACAATGCACTAAAAGCCTTCTAAAGTCTCTTCTGAACCTAAGATTTTATTGTTTTGGGTGAGTCACTGAATGTAGTAAACACATGATAGAGCTTTCTTGTAAAGTATAAATTTTATTTTTTTATTAGTGTGTGTTAACAGTACGTAATAGTTCTAGTCACAGTGGGGAGTTGGGTATGTATATAATACAGCTTCATTCTTTTTATCACCCTCATCTTGTGTTCTAAGCAGATTTCTGAGACTCATGGTGATATTTACATTCTTTCCTTTTGTGAAGCTGCTCAGTTTTGAGACTAATTTTTAATATGTCCTTTCTAAGCATGGTCTATAGGAGCTTTTATTTACCTCATTGCTTTTCCTTTAAACTATGTGGGTTAAGTGTATTTTTAGATCACATTTTGAAATGTGTATTTATAGGGGTTCTGGACCACACTAGGAATTATATGAAGCCCTTTTGAGTGTGGATAGAGATGCTCACTCTTAGCATTATTTGGGTTAGATTAGCCCCATTTCTGTGTCCAGTATATGTTGAGATAGAAAGAAAGTAAGCCTTGCTTATGTTACTTGCTTCCAAGAAAGCATTTGTTTTTCAAACAAAGCAAAGCACAGCTTCACAAATCACCACTGTGTCACTGGATGACTTTTTAAGAAGCTACTCTCTTTTTTGGTGGGGGAGTTTGTTTTCTCTGCAGGGTGTTTTGATTAAGTTGGAGGAAAAACACTTTGTGTTTTTTCTCACCAAGCGTTTGCTCTCAGAAGCTGGAGATGGCACCCAGGTTTTGACTCAGGACTCTGTCCCTTTACAGCATTGTGGGATTCAGGGCTGTCACCTCCTTCCTTGGAGCTTCTGGCACGGCAGAGAGTTGTGATGCTTGACTGACAATTTATAGAGGCAGAAGTCATTAGATCCACCCAAAGTCCCCATAAGCCTAAAAAGACGTAGTGCCCCCTCCTCACCCAACAGAGACGGTGACTGTTCTGAGGCTCAGAGAGAAAACCTGGCGGCTGATGATCAGACAGCCCAGTTCTTGCCCCACTAATTACCAATCCTCTTACTTTAGCTCAAAAGACAATGTAGCATGTATTGTTATTGTTGTTTTTGTCTTCATGGTTGCTGTTTTGTTAGTTTTTTTTTTCTCTTTAAAATAATAATAATAAAAAAAGACAATGTAGCAAAGGCAGTTAGCTTGTTGTAAAGAAATTTTTTCTGGAAAAAGAAAAGAAAAGAAAAACAATGAAGGGATCTGTTCCCGAGGGCAGGCTGGGGATTTTCTTTTGAAAATTTCTGGCTGTGTCAGAGAGGGATGCTTAGAGGGTGGTGGGGAGGAGGGTTCTGGGAAGGAGGGGAGGAGAAAGAAGCATTTTGGTTCCTCTCCATGAAGTGCTTGGTACTATGTCTGGTTTTTAGCTGGAATTCAGTATCTGTTATTATTAATTATGAATTGGTATTGTTTAGCCATGTAGATTGTAGTCTTGTCTACCAAATATGAAGTATGAAAACATAAAGTCATTTGAAAATCACAGTTTTCATAACATGTTAAAGTACAGCCTGACATTTAACCAATGCTTCTAGTACTCTTCTTCTAAGAAACCTTCAAAAAATAAGAAGCCACAGCAGACACTGTCGCCAGAAAAAATAAATGAGCAGCTGGCCTTGTTGGAGACACATCTACTCAAGATGACAAAACAATGTAAATTTTTCCTGTATACTTCTCTTCAGCATATGTTTCTTAAAATGAGGAAATCTTTAAAAAAATGGATTAAGATAAGATTGATATTTTGGTAAACCCTTTGAAATTTACCCAGTGCTTTTGCATTATGTTATTAAACCTGATGGTAGCTTGTTAATAAGGGATTCTAACTTCTTTGTATAGATGTAGCTCATAAAGGATAAGTGATTTACTTAAGACTACATAGCTGGTGTGGACTGGGGCCCATGTACTCTGGCTCTCAAGGAGGTTTTATCACACTTGACCCTACTGAATCTTAAGCCTCATGGTTCTTTGCATGGGGGACTTCGACACTGTAGGACATTGGACAACATCCCTGGTATCCTTCCATGAAGTACAGTGCACCATCTCCCTAGTTGAGCCAATCAACCAAGAGGCCAAGATTACCAAATGTATTGGTGGTGAAATGGGAGGGGCGTGGCCCAACACTGAGAATCTCTGCTCTAAAGGCAAAAATACAACCAGGAAATAATGGAATAGAGTGGGCTATGTTAAGGGGGAAGTGGTTTGAAGCAGGGCCTACTAGAGTAGGAACTAGACTGAAAGATTAGTTTAATTTTAGGTCATTGTACTGTAGTAATTTCATAATGGACTAATATGTTAATGTAGTGATTATTGTTTTGGAGTTTGCAGTTTGGAAAGCAGCCTGGGAAACTGATGTAGTTTTTGTAGTATGGCCATATTTTTTAAAAGCACATTAAAAAAACCTTCTAGAACAAGAGAGTACCTAGATTGCTCCCAGGGGTGAAGAGCCACACATGGCCCAGGTTCTTTTGGAAAACTGACCAGGCTTAGAGAATCCATGGCCCCACTTCATTGCTCTGTGTGCCTCAGTTATATTTTGGTGGTCATACTGTTTCAGCATTGCCTGACTTGGCTGTCCTTTTTTTCTTTTTGTACTGGGAATCAAACTCATGACCTCAGGCTTGCCAGGCAAGCGCTTATGCTGCTGAGCTACATCCCCGGCCTCTGACTTGGTTCTCCTTGCTTTCTCCATGCCCATTTCAAGCTGAATTTGGTTTTTTTTTTTCAAGCTGAATGTGTGAACTGAAGCCAATGATCTATTATTCTCGTAATTAGTAAACCTAGTTTTGGAGAGCTGTAATTTTCTTATTACATATAAAAGTATAATTCCTTAAAAATGTTAAGTGTCCTAGAAATGTAAATTATTCAATTTCATCCTGTCGGTGAAAACATTTTACTAAGAAGCATAATGTAATATTAGTAGTTCAACAGTAAATTCAGTAACGATAATAACAGTTCTGTAGAGTGGTTTCTGTGTGGCAGGCACTGTTTTAAGTATCTCATGCACATTAAAAATCATATGACTCATATATAACGAACATCTAAAGAAGGTACTGTTTTTATCCCCATTTTAAATGGATGCATAGAGATACTAAGTAACTTCACAAGGACTCAAGCCTGCAAAGTGTCAGGGTTAGAAACTGAACTCAGCCAGTCTGGAGGAGTGGTTCTGTTGTACTTTACGCCCTTTATTGGCAGGTTTGGGTGATACACACTTTAGCATTTAGGGAAAGGGATGTAGTTGAGGTTATTAGATTGTTTCTATCTCCAAAATATAATATCATAATGGATATTTTAAAGCACATGACTTAGAACAAATACCGGAACATTTTCCTGTCTGTTACCCGCTCCAAAGAATGTTTAGTTTTGGTTGTTCATGTTAAACAGATCTAGAACGTATTCATCTTTTAAACCCTAGATACTGTATGTGAACTTACCGGAACAGAAGACCCTATATTTCTTTACTCTGTGGTTTTGAACTGGTCAGTGAAAGGTGCTGTGAAAGAAGGTAGGTGACCTCCTTCTGCATAGGCTGTTCAAGTGGTTTACCACTGACGGTGGCTGGGTTTTGTTTGTGTTGTGGAAAGATTTCAGCTGTCATAGACAGAGTGCTTTGGGTTCTTAACCCACTCCGATGAATGCAGAGCCTTGATTTCTAGGTAATGAAAGAGGCAGCTGATTTGAACTCTGGACAGACAGAACCTTCATGGTGGTTTATTGTGGTAGTGAACAGTGTTATTAGGAAGCTTGCAAAAATGAACGAATTGAAAAACTGCACCAGTGATAATTTCACTTAGGAAGAGATAACGACCTCATTGCTTGCTTCAAAGTGTTTCGTAGTAAGAATTAGGACAACTAGGCAATTATTGATATTTGCCCCAGTTGTCACATGTTAGCAATAACTTTAATCAAATCTTCCTCAACACTGACAACTTTGAAAAAATAAGTGAAATGCAGACCGCAAAGGATTTGTTAATTTTAGAAAACCACAATAGTGCACACTACATTTACTTCTGTATTTTTTAGAAGTGAGAAATCTAAGAGGTAGGTTCATGAACTCGGCTGTTGGATCACAATGACTATTAGCACTAGTAACCTTCCAGCAACTTCAGTAACTGAGTGCAGCTGTGTATGAACTTCTGTGTTGTTACAGTGATGAAGTTTAAGCAAAGACCCAGGTTCCTGGAATTCTTTACACACATTATGCTTAAATGTATAAATGACGAGAAATTTCACCTTGTGTTGGAGATAACAGCACCTGTCCAGGACTTCATGAAAAGGTACATGGATGGGTTTCATACACATCAGCAACTTTAAAAAACTGAGCGATGCTCTCACCTTAAGGTACACAAAGTGAATGAAAAGAGCATACAGGGCAAGCACTTGGGAAACTGTGAAGAATTATGTCTCTGTGGGTGAATAAGTAACAAGAGGTAAAAACACCTATATGACAGCACTGAGAAATGAGAGTCAAACATGTTCAGATTTTCAGGAGGAAGTAGGTGAAGTCAGGAGGATTAAGAGTGTCTCCCCAGACGATCTGCTGAATCTCACACAAGGGTTAGAGATCCAGTGTGGGTCTTTTTCATGTGCTTCTAATTCTTCTATCGTAATAAGTAGAGCCATTCCTTGGCGGTTTCATTTTGTGTGTGAATCAGAAGTGCCTCATTTAGACACAGAAGGCTGAAAGCTGTCACTGTCATTCTCTAAGTCAAAATGATTCTCTTTGCTTCCAAAAAAAAAAAAACCCCAAAACAACAACAAACAAACTGCTGTTGTGCCATGCCAGTTATGAGAGATGCCAAATGAATCCATCTTATCTTCTGACAGCTGAGAAGTGGGCTTTTCTTTCAGGACTGGACATAAGTTTCTCCAGCTTGTTTTAACAAAAGTAAACATCAGTAACATAAAAGCTGTTTTTTTTTTTTAAATTTAATTTAATTTAATTTTTACTTTTTGGCTTTTTTTTCCGGTACCAGGAATCAAACTCATGACCTTGCGCTTGCCAGGCAAGCGCTTTGCTGCTGAGCTAAATCCCCAGCCCTTTTGGTTTTTTTTGAGATAGCGTCTCATTATGTAGTTCAGGCAGGCCTTGAATGCACTATGTAGCCCAGGCAATCCTCAAATTCACGGCATTCTTTCTGCCTCAGCCTCCCGAGTGCTGAGGTTACAGGTGTGTGCCACCACACCTGGCTCAAGATCTATTTTTAAAAATGGCAGCAAAACAGAAGCATTCCTTTAAAAATTCACAAAAATATATTCTTCCTAAAATAGGTACTGTATTAGTGGAAAAGCTTTGAATATATGGGCTTCATATTTTCAAAATATAGAGGAGGAAACTGCTTCTATTAAATGAAGCAGACCATAGCAGTAAGAGGATTGGCCAGAATTAAGAGTTCCATTCAGGGGGCTGGGGATTTAGCTCAGCGGCAAAAGCGCCTGCCTGGCAAGCGCAAGGTCATGGGTTCAGTTCCTGGTATCGGAGAAAAAAACCAAAAAAAAAAAAAAAAAAAAAAAAAAAAAAAAAAAAGAGTTCCATTCAGTTAAAAAATAAAGCCAAGATGAAATGTTTAGACATCTCAAGTAATATTTTTGATAACAAAGAAGATTAGAAAAGTTTTCATGTGCAGGGAAATTTGGAGAGGTGGCGATGGACGTTGAAGCTAAGAATAATCGATATTGTGAAAGGGGAAACAGACTTGGTGGCTGAGAAGCATTGAACAGGGGCTAGTAATAAATAATAATAAAAGACCTGAGGTTGGAGACTGAGCAGTATAACTAGATCAAAGCAAAGACGATAATTTCAATTATCAGGGCCGAGCAGAAGCTTTGGGATGTGCTAGTGCAGCGCTGTGATTTCCACTTTGGTACTGACGTCTATTTTCTGCTTATGTTCATGTGTCTGCTGTGGTACCATCCCAGTTATGAGACATGCCAAGTGAACCTGCCCTATCCTCTGACAACTGAGAAGTGTGGGCCTTTCTTTCATGACAGGACATAAGTCTAAAAATATAAAAATATTTAAAAAATGCATAAAGATATTTTTATATTGCACCAGAAAAATATATATCTGTCTTCTTCCAGTTTATGGTTTTATAATTTGCACTTAATGTTTTAATACCTATGGGATTGATTTAGGTATTGGAACTTGAGTTAAACTTTAGTTTTTTCCTAGTTTGTCAGTTGTCCTGCTAATATTTACAGAATAACCTTCTCCCTTAGTTATTTTTAATACCTCCTTTTCATATTTAAAGTGGATACATTTAATAATAATGTGTATAAATCACAATGGAGATATTTCATGAACTTTCATGTTCTACTTAACAAAAAGTCAAAGTACTGTATATGCAAATAATTGCTGCAAAGAAGGTTAATTTGAAAGAGACATAGTAGGGCCAGGGATATAGCTCAGCGGCACAAGTGCCTGCCTGAAAGTGACATAGTAATACTGAAAGAGTTTAAATTTCCACTTAAAATTCTAAAATAGAAAGGACATAGAAGAGGTATGAAATTTAAGATTAGTTGAATATAGTTAGCCAGTGGAGACTAAATATTGTATAAAGCATCCTTGAAGTAAACTATGATGAGAAATCATACATGTCCAGTGTTCCCAAAGAAGCAGTTAGAGGTAAATTCTCAGCTTTAGAAGTTTCTGCTATAAAACAAAAAATATAAAGCCAGAATAACTTTTGTTAATGTCAAGAAATTAGAGAAATAAAGTTAAAATCAAGAAGAGAAAAATAAAAGTTGAAATTAATCAATTACAAATTAAAGACAGCCTAATTGATAACTAGTAGAACTGGTTCTTTAAGAATATTGATAAATTAGGTATATTTCTTGACAGCATAATAAGCAAATGAGATAAACAAATAATCCAATGAGAAAGTAATCACAAATTTGGAAAAAGCTGAACAAATATTAAGAAAAACTATATAAAATTTCATGTTAATAAACTTAAAAATCTAGTTGAACGTGAAAGCCAAAAATTTGTAATCAAGTGAAGCAGTAAAAATTTGAATAGCTCAACAATTTTTAGGGTAACTCATTTTTAGGGAATAAATTTTTAAGATATAAAGGTATTTTAAAACATAGGTATGAAGTTTCCTATTAAAATGAGCACAGTGGGCTCTGATAAGAAAACCATATAAAAATTAATAAAAAAGTAGAAAATAATGGATCAGTCTTGCTTAGCAGTATGTAGATATGAAAGTTTAGAATAAAATACTAGCATATGAGTTCAGCTATGATTTTATTCTCAGTGCAAATAGAGCAGGAAATCTGAAAACATAATTAGTACGATAGTCAAAGGAGGCTTTAGGAAATACAAAAAGGTCAGTTGTGATGAAATTCAGCCATCGTTCCTGAAAAATTAGGGTTAAAATAAGTGCTGTGACCAGGAAACTTGCTATTCCTTCTGTCACTTAACCCCACTCTAAGGGCTCTTGCTGGTGCATTAAGAAAAGTAACATGGCCTGGGGATGTAGCTCAGTGGCATAAGCGCTTGCCTGGCAAGCCTGAGGTCATGAGTTCGATTCCCGGTACCAAAAAAAAAAAAACAAAAAAAAAACCCCGAAGTGAGAATTAGACCTTTCATAATTATCACGTCACAGGGTTTCAAAATTATTAGTCAAATCAGTTCCATGGTGAAGTACTGAAAATGGGGACATTTGCAAACAGTTATTTTAAAGTTAAAAATATTTAACCGAAGACCATTACAGCTAATAATGGAAGTTTGTAGGATAGATAGATGAAAAACCAGTTGTTTTTCCACACCTACTAGAGAATATAACGGAAAGCTGATCCCATTTCTGTGGAATGCATGATTAAGTATATCAGGAATTGTGAAGGGACTTAGAGTAATACGAAGAAGACAAAAATCTGGACTAGGAGGCAAAAAAGACTTGAATAAATGAAGACACAGCACAGTACTTGATGGGCAGACAGAAAGAATATAGATTTATTTTCTCTTCAAATTAGTCTGCTAGTCTAAATTCCAATCAGATTATAGAATGGGTTAGAATGAGGTAAATTATTTGAAAAACACAAAGAACAAGAAAGAGGGATTTATACCATCAGATAAAATATAATGGGGTCATACTTGTGAAATAACGGGCAGAGAGACATGGGACTAATTGCAGAAACAGGCATTAATATAACTAAAGTGATGAAAAGCCATGAAATAAAAGGTCATTAATACTGACTACATAAAAGTTTAAAAATATTAATTATCAAAACACGCCATAAACAATACAAAGAGCCATAAGCCAAGCTTCCTAGAGCTGTGAAGAGGTGAAGAAGAGAAGGAATTTGATGTTCTCAAGGGATAAAGGCTCTGAGCCCACGGAGGGAATGCTGAGACTGTTGGTAGATGGTAACCGAGTGTGTACATCTTAAACTTTCTCCCCTTCCCTCTTTCTGCAATACCATAGCGACTGTCAAACACTGAGTGGTACGGGAGAGGGAGGACATAAGGGAGAGACTAACTTGGTTGGAAAATGACAGGGAACCAGCCACAGGGTGCAAGTTGCCTAAATCCCCAGCAGTCACTGGTTCAGGCTTACTAGGTTCGCCACACAAGGCATTTGCCAAAATGAATGTCAGCTAACTGGAGAGTGTCTCAGCATCACCGCAACTTGGCCTAGTGTCCTTGCCAACCCCAGAATCCATAATCATCTTCATAAAAGTTGAAGAGGCCAACTGCCAAGGGGACCAAGACCAGCTTGGATTACAGCATATTCCAAACCCTGGAGCTAGCTATCCAGACCCACCCAGTCCTTTCATTAACCATGCATTTTTATTTCAATTTCAAAGAGAAAAAATACCAAAATAACAACAAAGACAAAAATAAAACAACACAAAACAATAAAAATGATACAAGATTTCAAAACAAGATGATAAGAATTAACAGTGGTTGTTATATTACATACAGTTATCTTCAGTGAAGTTGCTCAGATTACCAGATGGAGGAATGCAAGATTGATCAAACAATGAAGAGAATAAAAAGTAATAAAAAACATTAGAAATGGTACAGAGCTTCATTAAGCAATATGATAGGAATTCAACAAGGGTTGTTATGTTGCATATTGTTGTCTTCAAATTAGTTGTTCAGATTACCAGATATAATCATGCAAAATTGGTCAAGAAAAAAAAATTTAAGCATTAACTGTTCCTTTCAATAAGCCAATAGACATCGGCAGTAGAATTATCCCAGCTATTCTTGTATATATGTACATATTTTCCCTCTTTCTCTCTCTCTCTCTCTCTCTCTCTCTCTCTCTCTTTCTTTCTTTCTTTCTTTCTTTCTTTTTCTTTCTTTTCTCTTTTCCCTCATCCCAGTTGTTCCTTCCCTTTGAGCAATTTCTTTCCCTTTCACAATGTCTATTGTATTTTTTGGGTTTTATTTACTCTTTCAGTTTCTTCACTAGGGAGACAATATGATGTTTACACATGCGGGTCTAATTTATTTCACTTATGAGTGTGGTCTGTAGTTGCATCCATTTACCTATAAAAGCCTCAAGTTTATTTTTTTTATAGCTGAGTAATACTTCACTGTATAAAAATACCACATTTTTTTTTATCCACTCCTCAGTTAATGGGCATTTGGGTTTCCAAGATTTAGTTATGACAAATTGTACTGCTATAAACATGGGTGCACATATATTTTTGTGGTATGATTTTAGTTTTTCTGGAATAATACCCAGAAGGGGAATAGCTGGGTTAAATGGGACCATTAATCCTAGTATTGTGAGTAATCTCCACACTGATTTCCACAGCGGTTGTTTCATTCTACACTCAACACTTGCAGTGGAGAAGGGTTCCTTTTTCCCCACCAGCCCTCCACCATTTGTTATTAGTTGACTTCTTGATGATGGCCTTTTTTCTAGGGTGAGATGGAATCTCAGTGTTGTTTTAATTTGCATTTCTCGAATGACTAATGATGTTGAACAGTTTTTCAATATTTATTTGCCATTTGTATTTCTTCATGTGGGAAGTGTGTAATCACCTCAGATGCCCATTTTTGAATTGGGCCTTTGAATTTGGGGCACTGGATTTTTAAAAATTCTTTATATGTTCTAGATTGAAGTCCTTTGTCTGAGGGGCAGTTAGATAAAATTTTTTTCCCAATTTGTGAGTTTTCTTTTTACCCTGTTGGTGATTTCTTTTGATGTGCAAAAACTTTTCAATAAGAAGAGATCCCAGTTGTTGGTTCTTTGAAATATTTCCCATGCAGTTTGGTTTTTGTTCATGAACTCTCTGCCTACCTCTGTGTCTTTAAGATTTCTACCTACTTTCTCTTCCAGTAGAGTTAGTGTTTCTGTTTTATATTTAGATCTTTGATCCATTTTGACTTTAGTTTGCTGAATTCACCATGCACTTTTGTGCCTCTACATTTAAGTTTTTGGATCCCATCTGCTATGTTATAGCAAGATTTTGCTGTACATATAAAATACTAAAAGGAATGTAAATTCCAGAAAACATACAAATGCCAGGAAAAATCCACAGTAATGTCACTAGGACAGTGAGAGACTATGGTATTTGGAAAGGATGAATCCACTGGAGTTTATAATTAAGAAAATAAGGTTAAGAACTCCTGCAGATGACTGAGGGAAGGGAGAAGGCTTAACAGGCGCCTATGCCTACCATGCTTACTTTCTTTTTTGTTTGTTTTTGTCCGGTACCGGGGATCAAACTGATGACCTTGTGCTTGCTGGGCAGGCGCTGTGCCGCTGAGCTAAATCCCCAGCCCCTAGTAAATTGGTTAGTTAATTCTTTTTTTTTTTTTTTATTGGTACCGGGGTTTGAACTCAGGACCTTGCGCTTGCCAGGCAGGCACTTATACTGCTGAGCTATATCCCCGGCCCTTATTTTGTACTGGCACTCAGAAGGCGATAGTGGCTGGGACCTTGCACAGTACGGAACTAACAACAATGAGATTGTTGGGAGTAAGAAAGATTGTATAGGGTCACTCTGATGTAGTTTTCATCTCATTTGTAAAGGGAAGTGTCCATATTACTTTATTCTCAGTGGAGTTCTGTTGCACCTTCATCATGCCTTCACCCCCTGCTCGCTTTTCCCATACGCTACAGATACATTGCTCCAATTGCATTTTATAGTGTGATTTACACTTCGTTCTTTTGAGAGGCCAGGAATTCCTTGATGAAGAGAGGACCACTGTCCAATTTATGCATGGGACACAAGCAGTTTTGGCTATCTTTCTTGCATAAATTCAATGACAGCATTCGTTGAACATTTATTAACTTGGGATGGTTTTGCAAGTGTTGGGAAATCTTTCTGATCAAATTTATCTTCTTTTTTAAAGGAGGAAGGAGTCCCTACTTGGAGTTAAAAAAATGAAAATTAAGAATGGGGTCCTTAGTGCAAAGACCTGCACACCTTTGAAGTTCAGAGTTGCAGCAGTAGACTTTGCAACAGTGAGTTTCCGCTAAAGTTTGAATTTTAAATTAATGAAGTGAATTGAAGAGATCATGTATTTAGAGATGATTGCCTATATTTTAATTTACTGCAATATGAAAAATATCAACAAATACAATTTTATAACTCTATAATACATTATAAATTCTTAAGTTATATGGGTTTTTTATAATCACATTCCTTTGTAGGGGTACTTCTGTTAATTTTGATAGTCATTTTAATTGCAGGGTGTAAAGAAACCACTTTGTTCAGTGTCAAGAAATAAGCATTAGAATAGGAGTAAGTTATAATTTTGTGTTCAAAATTTAAAGTTAATTTTTAACATTTTTTGTTATTTCCACTATTAAGAGTACAGAAGTGGTATCAAGGAGAAGAAATAAAAGAAAGGACACTCTAAAAGATTTTTATGCCAGAAACCCATCCATTCTTGAATTGACAGAATCTGAAAGGTATTAACTAATGAATTAATTCAGTAGAAGTGTACTTGAAGGTTACTATGTATTTTTGATAGTAAGGAATCACGGGTGAACCAGACAGATAAAACCACTGTCTTTCATGAGTTTGCATGTGAATGAGAGAGCACAGTCCCCAAGCAGACATACAAATGATATGTTGTAGAGTCATTGGCTTCAGCTTAATTGGTGGAGGCAGTAGTTCAGATGGGGTGGTCAGGAGACCAAGTTATAAATTATTTTTAATTATCATAAGATCTAATGTTCTTTAACAATTTTTAATGGATACATAATATGTGTATGTACTAATGGGATACAGTGTATGAATTCAGCACACATGTACAATGTGCAATGACCAAATCAGGGCAACTAGCATTTCCACCGTCTCAAACGTTTATCATTTCTATGTGTTGAGAGTCTTTAGTTACTCTGAAACATAAAGCATTTGTAGGCTGTTGTTACCTTACTGTGCTGTAGAGCACTTAGATTCCTCCTACTTACCTGTATTTGGGTATCTGTTGCCAAGCCTTCTCCCTCATACCTATGCTGGCCTTTAGTGATCTGTATTCTACTCTCCTCTGAGATTCCCTTCTGTTACCTTTCACAAATGAGTAAGAACAGGTGGCTTTTGTCTTTCGGTGCCTATCTTCTCTCAATTAACACGATTTCCTTCATTCCCATCCATGTTGCTCCAAATGACAAGATTGCACTTTTATTTCATGACTGAATAATATTCCATTGTGTATATATACTGTTTTCTTTATCTATTCATCCACCATTGGTGATGTCTTTTGATTCTATATTGTAGATAATGTGAATAGAGCTGCAGTAAACATGACTGTACAGGATCTCTTTGATGTAACCATTTCATTTCTTTTGGATAGATATCAAGTAGTGAGATTACTGGATTATATAGTCATTGTATTTTTTATTTATTGGGAAGCCTCCAAACTGTGTATCTTTATGGTACGTCTGAATGTTTTCGATCATAAAACTTACTGTGGCAAAATGTTTAATTTTTATTTTTGTAAATGGCTGTTGTCTCATTGTTTTTAATGATATGTTAATTTGTTTCCTGATAAACAAACTAGACCCATGTACATCAATTGCAAAGTCTTCAGTGTAACTAACAAAGGATGCATAACACTGTTAGCGAGAAAATCATGGAACTGTATTACAAGACATTATTTGAACTAAGACTGTAGTTTATCTACTGATAGATGTTGAACCAGGGACTCAATGTTGTAAAAAACAAAACTCTTTAAACCACTATACATATTCAATTCTATCTTTAACAAAATCACAATAGAATTTTTTGTATAACCTGATGAGCTATTCTAAATTATTTTGTAGAAAATTATCTAAGACATGCATGGGGGAAAAAGAATGCTAGAGAGACTTTTTGTACTGGACAACAAGATTTAATTTAAAGCCAAAGTAATAATGATGGTATGATATTAACTCAGAAGTAGACAAAGAGAGCCGAGCATGATGGTGCCTGCCTATAGTCCCAGCACACTGGGAGCCTGAGGCAGGAGGATGGCAAGTTTGAGTCCAGCCTGGGCAACCCTGCCTTAAACAAAAGAGCAACAGACTGACTGGGTATAGCAGGTCAACTGCTTATAATTGCACAGAAATCTACAGGTATCTGAAAAAAAGTATTTTAAAATGCATGTTGCAAGCAGTAAGTTCTCTATCACATACGCATTTATGATTCTTGTACATTATATATGTGTATTTTTTTCTTTATTATTTAATGTCTTCTTTACCTGCTTAGCAATATTGATTTAATTGATTTAATTGCTACCACACTGAGAGTAATAGGACCACTTCTTTCTTTTTGTTTGCATCATCTGTTATCTCTTTGATTGTTCCTCTTTTTACTTACTTAATACACTTTAGATGACACTATTTATTAAGTTGTTTATTCTCTTGTCACTGTCACTTTTGTTGCTTGGCATATATATATGGTTTGTGTCACTTAGCAAAACTATATATATGCTACTTATTAAAAAGTAGTACTTCCATGTTATTTTGCATGTTACTTATTATAAATATTCATGTTTATTCAGAAACAAATTAACATATTATTAAAAACAACGAAAGAACAACTAAGGCCTCAGAAACATCTAAATAAAAGGAAGTCATCCACAAAATCTAAAATATTTTGAATTGAATGATAACTTAAAAAGTACATGTCAAAAGAGGAAGCTTCCTTCTTTTTCTTCCTCATGTTTGCTTCTCTGTTGTAAAAATACACCCTCCCCTCCCTCTGCTTCCCCCCTCCCCCTCTTTCCCTCCCTTTCTTCCTTCCTCTCTTCTCCTCTTTGTTCATCCAGACTCTGTGTCGGGTACCCTGGTTTACCTGCTGGGCTCTGTTTCTTTCCCTCTCCCTTCTCCAACATGAGTGAGGTAGAATGGTGTTGACCAGGCAGTGGGACAGAACATCATCCACAGTATAAAACAGATTGGTGCAGTGTTTTGAAGAAATGATGTTGCCTCCCATGCACAACTATCTAACTATAAAAATAGTTGGACTGCTTGAGTTTCAATAAGAATGACTTTTTAAAAATCAAATAAACATTATACTTAAAAACTGAACTATTAGGTAAAATTTGATTTTTTTTCTGGAGTGTATTGCAATCATGTCATCTATATTTGACTGATGTTTTATTTCCTCTAGAGTCTAACAGTGTTAGACAAAATTTTGCTCCATTGGTTTTTTCCTTAAGGACCACTACAGAGAAATGATTTTCTCTTTTAATATTGAAGTTGGTTGATGAATGTGAACACTGCATCGTAATGCATTTGTCTGGTCCCAGTGGCCCTGTGCTTATGGAAAAGAAGAACTCTGAGTTGAGCTGAAACATCAGAGAGTTGAAGGCAATATGTGGTGTCTTTGTCCCTGGTGCTTACCGTTGTGTCTTCTTTTCCACCCTATTTCACATTTTTAGCACCGAGGAAATGATATACAAGCCAGAAGCATTTGCGTGAGGACAGTCAAGTGCCTTCTTGATGTATTTTGTGTAAATTGGAATCATTCTTTTTTATTCAGGGTCTACAAGTTGTTGTGAAATTTCAAAACTTTCTCTCTTGGCAGACATAAGAGACCCGATGTTAGAAGACTCGCGTATCAATGCCTGACGGAGCGCTTGAATCCTCTAATACTAAATTATGTTAGAAAAAGCAGGTTTCACCAAATCTTTCTTGAGGAGCTGCCCTGGAGAGCTCAGATGAACTTGTATCTGGCACTTACACACTTTCACCTGTTTTTGCAAAGGCTAGGGGAGCGAATGAAGATGAAGTGCGGCACTTCACATGTGATGGTCAGGTATAGTACATTACTGATAAATCATACTTGTAAAATCTCATGAATATGGGTATATATTTGTATATTTTAGGCCCAATGTTCATGGCAATTTAATGAGGTTTACACAGTGTCTACATTTTTATACTGGTCATTGGTGCTTTGCTTAGTTTTTTGGTTTAGAACTTTCCTAAACAAGTGCTGGATATACATGCTTGTGATGTGCCAATTTGCATGTATCTTGAGTATATTTGTTGGTGTAGCTTTCAGTGCAAGGGTAATTCTGTAATAACTGTAGATGTTAGTAGGAATTAGGCAAATCTCTGTTTTACTTAGAGGTGTATATGAAGCCCTTGTAAATAGAGATCATATTTTCTCATGTAATGTGTAGGTTTTCCATCATTAATTCAACAGACATTTTCGAGCTCTCGTTGAGTGTCTTTGGCTAAGTACTCTGGGAGATAAAAATAGATCAGTACATGATACGGAATGCTATGTTACCACTAAAAAGGTGATTTAGAATCATTCATTTAGAAAGAAACACCTATTAGATACAGGGTACTTATTAGATACAAGTACCTATTAGATACAGAGTATTGAGTTAGGTGAGATGGATATGCCAAGAAGATATTCTCTGTCTGTCTATCTCTCTTACACACACACACACACACACACACACACACACACACCCCACACACAGATTGGTAGAGTATGTCACATATGTAGTACGGTATGTCACAAATGTTCATGAATAACTATAATTAATGGTAGAAGGTCAAGTACACTCAAAGTCACCTTTGTTACTAGACAGAGGCTTTCCTCTGACTGGATCTAACAGGAAAGGTTCCATGGGAATGGACCAGCAGCCTGAGTCTTGCTAGATAGGCAAGGTTTAGAAATGTGCAGATAGGGAAAGAGACATTTCTAGTTAGAAGAGTACAAATCAGAGCCCAGCTAGGAAACATAGGATGAGAACCCCAAACAATCTAGGGCGTATGAAAAGGAGTGAAGTAGTTAGAAAAATAAGTCAGTATCATACCATGGAGGATCTTTAGTTTCTATTAAAGCTGAACTTTATTTCATGTACAGAAGGAGATTACTGAGCATTTCTGAGCAGGAGTATGAAACAGATTTCTTTGGGAGCAACATGTCAAGTAGGTTGAAGGATGAAAGACTGGAGACAGTGCTATGAATGAAGAGGGTAAAGGGAAACAAAGCTTTGTAAATGAGGAGGGAAAGGGGTTGAAGGGAGGGGAGGGGATTGGAAAAAAAAGAGGAACCAGGATCTATCATGTATAGTTACAGATTCCCTGTGATGAATGTGGTCCTTATGTCTATCTAAATTGCACCAATAAACTTAAAAGTTTTTTTTTTTAATTAAAATGAGGGTATTTATTTCATTAATCCAGTGGAGGAAAATACAGATTGAAGTCTACAATGAACTTGGTTATAATTTCTGTTTCTTCAGAACTGTGGTTAAAGTCATAGAACTAGTTAGCTTTGCAAAGTGACCATGCATGGGGCTGCGACATGAGGCTTCTGCAGTGTTTTCTGGACACTGAGAAGTCTCTCTTGAGTGTCCAGTTATGTGTCATCCATTACCCACAATTCCTTGATAGCACAAGACAATGTAAAATTTGTGTCAGTACATGAAACTTTCTGTTAAATTTAATTTAATTTCCTTAAAATTGTTAATAGAGATTCAGTAATTTATTGATTAATGAATCAACTTTTGGTGGAGGATTGTTTGCTGCTTAGGTGTTAAAAAAGAAGTAAAGGTGATTGTGGACACATTACACAGTAGGCATCTTTATTGAGTTGTTTTTAAATCAGGTGATTTTGAATTTACACAGATGATTGCCTCAGAGTGCAACGAGTGAGTATAGATCTCTCATTCCCATTTTCAAGGGCACTTTCAGGGAAATAGATATTGATGTTAAAATTCCTAAGAGCCAGGTTACATTGTATAATTTGAAAAGTTAATGGGAAAGTGTTTTGCTTTGATTAAGTGCCAAAATACTTTATGACCTAAAATCTGAGAGTGTTCAGTGACAGATGTTTTTAAAATAAAAAATAGAATGTATTTGACAGATTTAATTCAATTTTGCTTATATTGTTTTTTTTTAATGTGATTTTTTTGCAGTTTCCGATCATGTGATCCTAGTTTATTCTCACTCTATAATTCAGGAACAGTATTACCAACAGGAAAAATGACTGTAGAAAATTATAAATCAATGCTTGATTTCCTCCTTACAGCTAAGAAAAGAAAAGCCAACTTACCATCAGGTAAAATAAGTGTGCTGATTTACTATCAAATTACCTCCAGACTTTTATTCACATGTACATATGTTGTTATATTTTGGATTTAGAATGTCCCCCAAAAGGCTCATGTGCTCAGAGGTGAGGGTATGGGGAAGTGATTGGATTGTGAGGATTAGATTAATCCACTGATGTGTTCAGAGCAGAATGTGCTGGTAGGAGGTGAGGCTGGTTAAAAGAGTTGGCTGGGGAAGTGACCAGAAGAGTGTATCTCCTTCCCCAAAGTGTCCTTTTTCTCCGTTTCCTGTTCCCCATGAGATGAGCAGCTCTCCTCCGCCAGACCTTTCCACCACGCCTTTCCTGCTTTGGAGCCAGCCAGCCATGGACTTAAAATGTGAGGCAAATAAACCTCTCCTCCTCTAAGTTGTGGGTGTCGGACATTTTGTCCTAGTGACAAGAAAGTAACTAAGACACACACAAACGGATACGCAAACACATACACACACACAACCTAAGACTCATGAAGATACACATGTTGTTTTCTGAAAACCCAGTAATTTAATGGAGTTTTTGAGTTTTGATGTTTTATAGGAAAATTTTACCTTTGATAGTAAGTCTATAATTTAGGGTATCATATATTTGGAATTACCCATTTTCTGTTTCAACCTAAACCAATTCTGCTGTTCAGCAAATGCAGTGCTTTTCTGTTAAATATCGGTAGCCTCCAGTAGTTTCAAGGTTGGTCAAGACTTGCTACCAGGTGTAATAGTTTAGTGGAAGTAATTCTCTACACAGATTTCATCGAACATACCAATACAAGCAGGCACAAAAGCAGGCATAACAGCTGATGTGGTGGTCAGGGTAGCCCACTCTTTCCTGGGATCTCCAGCGAGCGCTTTCCATAGAAGCTCACTGCAGATGAATACGATGACAGTCTGCTGAGCGCACCAAGAAGCGTTGTTATCCGTTCTGGTGTCGGGGGGTGGCGAGCTCAGAGAGGTGGAGACAGGAGAGAGAACAGACCGCTCCATCTGGGTGCCACACCGGTGACTGTCATCTGCCAAGTTCACTGATGTTATAACTCCTTCCGGAAAGACATTAGAGCCTTGACACTATTCCTGACCAGGAGTAACCTCTCTTAGGTGCTGCTCATTTCACAAATAAAATTTTATTTCTAATACCTTTCAGCTAATACAAACCCACATATATAGATTTTTAAAATAATATCATTTATGCACTATTCAGCATATGGCTGGTCAGGGTCTTGGTATGCTTGTTAACTGCCCAGGTAGTGCCAATTCCTGTTGAATGCTTAGCATGATTTCTGATTTCTCCCGAGGTATAGATCAGTTTTAACTGGTTCCTGCATACCATACTGTGTATATTGAGGTATTTGAAAGTACATTTCACTGATACAGATGCTAATTTTTAAAATATAGATTATAGTATGTGCCTTCCTCAGTTTTTTTTTTTTCCTAAGTGGGCTCTTGGCTTATGACCCACCATGAAACTGGAAGTAGACTCTTCTGCCTTTGAGATGTTGTTTAATACCGAGTCAGAAGAGAGGGCTGATGGCAGGGAAATGCTCCTGTTCAACGCCACACCACAGGCCAGTGAGTGGCTGGTGGCTGCACTGCCCACCTCTGGAGGCTGTCCACGTGCTGCTTCTGTGTCCCAGGAAAGGTCTGCTGGAGGGGCAGCTAGGACCCATGAGATCCTGTTGCTGTTCCTCCCCAAACACGTTCATTGCTCCTCTTTTGCCTTTTCCTTTTGCCTCCCCTTATGTCTGTGATGCTCCCCACAGTTTTCAATGGCCCCATCATGTCCATCCTCTAAGGTCTAGCAGGCTCCTTTTTCTAGAAATTTCTCCCCAGTTCATTGTGCATCTGTCCTTTTTCCAAGTTTATGTCACATTGGTTATCTCGTTTACTTATTTGATGCTTTTTACCTATTGTGTTTTCAGGGACTTAAATCTATGTTTTCAATCATGTTGTACCTTATTTTTTCTAACTACAGAAGCTTCAGAATTTTCTATGTTTGCTAAATCCAAAAGTAGTGAAGAAAGTACGTCCAAGTCACAAAAATCTCATGACTGTGACTCTCTAAAGGACCGAGCACCAAATTTGGGACTGGATCATTTTATGAAAATCTTTTTATACTGCAGGAGAGCAATGGTAACGTATTTTCAATTGCTCATGTAGTAGACATAGCTCTCAGCCCATAAGTCAGGCTGTTAAGTATGGTGTATCTTATGTGTGCATAATTTTACTTTGATCTCATCTTGTTGATCTCATCTTGTTGATCTCATCTTGTTTCATTTAGTCTCAGCCACTTTGGAGGTTCGCCTCCTGCATGAGGCTGAAGTCAAGTTGTCAGGGAGAAGTGTGCTCCTTCCGTCATCTGCCATCCATCCACTCAGAGCCTAGGCGTGCTTTGTGCCTCTCCATGAAGCCCCTGTGACTATACATACACCTCTGCTGCTGTTGTTTCACACGTAGGATGCAGGGTTCTCTTGTGAGGCCAAAGGTTCCTCTCTGGGGTCTTGATGTCCCCGGAGGTGTCATCACCTTCTCTATTCTAGCACAGGTTAAGATCATTCCATATAGAATGATCTATAGAAAGCTCTGCACTTGTCACAGCCACTTGCTTCTATCGACCACTTAAGTCTTTGCATGCCAAGGCTTTTCTCTCTTCTTTCTAAAGCTTAGATTTAGAAATCCAAGTGGATTGTTTAGAAATCCATGTGGTGGATTGTTAAATGCATAACTGGAATCAGTAGTTATAATTAAATGTGGAAGAGCATACGTTTCAAACCTCTCAAGAGGTGAGGAGAACTCTATCCTTTCTAGACAAAAAAAAAGCGCATTTAAACTTCCATGTCTCCCATAGAATAGATCAAGTGATTTGACAAAATGTGACTCAAAAACAAAGCATGACCCTTTGACCACGGATGCGGAATCCTGTCCTCATCCCACCAGTTCTTCCCCCAGGGCCTGGAACTGCTAAGCCCTGTTCACCTGTGGATTGAGCTCTTCATAGTCCTGCTGTTCTTCAGCTCAGCTCTGCCTCTGTTGTCTTAAAATTATGGAACTCCTGCCCTCCTCAGCCTTCAGTTTGCCTGCTCTGCTTTGTGCTTGCTGGTCTGTAAGCCGCAAGTGCTCCCTATTCCCAGCACCTCCGTCACCCACCTCTCATGACTCATTCAATTCAGCATTCAGGTCCCTGCTCAGATCACTGGCACACAAGCCCTGCTTTGCCACTTAGTAGACTGATGGTCACAGGCAGGTTAGCACATGCCTCTACTCCCTCTCTGAGTAGTGTGGTAACGCACAACTGCATCCTGGGAGTTACTGTTAGAATGAAATGGGATAATGCAAGTTAATATCTTACCACACATAAATGTAGCACATACAAATGGCACATAATGGATGGTGTTGTTTTTATTACCGACATATACGATTTGCAGAAAGCTGAAGCTTTTCAGAGATGTATAACTTTGGGAACTTTGGGGCCTTCTGTGTGTTGTGTCACAGGTTCTTGCACATCGAGGGGGCTATTGGACTCTGCTTCAGAACTGCTGTCGGGCCCTCTGGAACTTTACTCAGGAGCTGCAGATACTTCTTAATCAGACAGTGGATTTGTATAAGACATTTCCTGTGAACCAGGATGGCTTCCTCTGTACTTCTGTCTTACCATTCTATATGGGAGCAGAATTACTTATTGACATGTTAGTACAACTGCAAAATACCGATTCTATTCGGGTAAGGATATTTTGGTAATTACTTCTATTGTATTCAATTAAGACTGTCACTTCTGGGCTGGGCATATAGGTCAGTGGCACTGCACCTGCCTGGAAAGCGCGAGGTTCTGAGTTTGATTCCTGGTACCCCTCAAAAAAAGTATTTTAAGAATATCTTTTCCATGTAGCTTGGAAAAAAGGAGAAATTGGTAATTTTCTTGTGCTCCCATTCGGAATATTTGTTTGCCATTCTTATTTTGTTCACAATACACAACTTGCATAAATGCTAAACATCTTAAGATACTAAAAATATTTTAGCTTGATCATTGCATTTGTTAAAGAGAAAGGAAAGTAAAATGTCTTGAGCTCAACTCCTATATAAAGTACACTTAGTGCATTTAATCTACATAGCAATCTTTTTGACAGATAAAGAAATACTCTTTGGCAGATTCCAAGAGAGATATTACAGATTACTGGTCAGTCTGTTCTTTTATCTATCTCTGTGCTATTACTCTAGCTCTGCTAGAATTTGCAAGCATTTAAAATCTACCACTCTGTTTTGTAAAGCACAGAAATAGAATAGAAAGAATACCGATATAAAATATCCTAAACACCAAAAAATACCCCAAACACATAACACATTGAACCATGAAGTTTATATTTCTACGTGAAAATATAGGACAACAACAGCACAAGAGAAAGACAGGGTAAATTAAATAACTCAAGGAACACATAATCAAAAAACCTTACCTGCTTAAAAGGGAGACCTTATTCAAAAGGGACACTATTACCCTAATGAGACATTATTCAAAAGAAAACACACAGATGGCTGAAAGGTATAGGAAAATGCCCGATGTCACTGCTCACCAGTGATGAAGACTTCAGTAAATGCAAATCCAAACCGTGTTGCGACAGCACCTCGGTTCAGCTAGAATAGGTATCATCAAAAAGACGGAATGTAACGCATGCTGGCAAGGGTGAGAGGAGGGGCAGATCTTACGCACTGCTGGTGGACCTGTAAATTAAAGCAGCCATTATGGAAAATAGTTCACATGAAATACGTTCAGCTTTACTAAGTGGCCTCTAAACTTTTATCTTAATGTCATCAACCTGTACTTTCTACACTGTAGTCTCTGTTAGGATTTTGTCCACAAGTGTGGTTTTACAGTGCCAGGGAGGTCTCCAGCCAAACACGATGGCCATTCAGATGCAGAGCTGCAGAAGGGCAAGGCACCTGGGAAGGGGAGTTGAGTGTCTTTGTCCCTCCCAGCTCTCCAGGACCTCTGCTTATGTTCCGCTATCTGGAAGCTCCCCAACAAAACAGAAATTTAAAATATACTGTGGACAAGCAAACTTGAGCTGCTTCCTGGCTGTTGAGCGCACTGACCCATCAACAGGGCGCTCTGTCCTGGCTCCACAGGGAAAGGGCAGGGAAACTGTCCGGGACTCTTTCAGGCCTCACCCTGGAGACCTCTTCCTGTGGCTGTTCCCGAGTCATGTCTTTTATCACAAAGCTGTGATCACAGTGCACAGCATAGGCTTCCAGTGAGTTCTGAGGTCTTTCTAGGGAGTTACCGCTCTGGCTGTGTTATGAGTCCCCTGACTTCGTAGCTGGTCAGTCGGAAGAGCAAGTGACCCTGAGACCTGTGGCTGCAGCCCATCACCCACGGTGTCTGGCAGTGACTCTGGGCAGTGTGAGGACTGGAGTGTGGCACAGGCAGGAGGACAGTCACGGAGCACAAGTGCACCTGTGTGTCCCCAGAGAGGGTCCCAGACAAGGCCAAAACACAAGGTGTAATGAAACGTAGAAGAGTGTGTTCCTAGTGACGACAGAACTACATTAAACAGATTACCACAACGTGTGGAGAACAATCTCCAAATATCAGTGTGGTTTTAAATAACCTGTAAGTTAAAGAACAAAACAAAAAGGGTTTAGAAGATATTTAAAGCTAATGGTAGAATCTCAGTGTTTGTGGAATTCGAATAAAATTATGCAGAGGAGAAAAAGTACAGCTTTAAATGCTTAATAGAAAAGACAGTGTCTACTTATAGAGCTAGGAAAAGAAGAAGAAATTAACTTCTGTGTAAGTGCAAAGAAGAAAGAGTATAAGGAGCAAAATGGCGAGAGCAGAAACCAGTTAGATACAAAGCAAAACAAGAAAAAGCCTAAAGGAAAAAATTAATAAGGTCAAAAATTCCAACTTTAGAAAGGATTATTAAAACTGGAATACTGCTAAGAATCATGATGAAAAACAAAAACAAAAAGGCACAAATTCTGATATTGCTGGGTGTGGTGGCCCAGGCCTGTAATCCCAGCGCTCAGGAGGCCAAGGGTGGAGTTTTGCTGCAACTTTGAGGTGAGCCTGCCTTACAGAGTGAGACCCTGTCTCAAAAAGAAAACAACAAACAAAACAAAACAAATGCCCTCCAAACAAAAGCAAAATGAAAAACAAGAAAAAAAAATGCTCTTCAAAAAACAAAAACAAAACAACAAAACACAACAAGTTACTGATGTTAGTAATGAAAAGGAAATATAGCTACAGATCCTATAGATAGTAAAGAAAAATAAGGGAATGCTGTGATCAATTTTTCTAACAACTTTGATAACTTAGAAGAAATGGGCACACTTATTGGAAAGCACACCTTAACAAATCTGATGCAAGAAGAACTAGAAAATGACTTACCTGAAGTGTACTAAAGAAAATGAATTCATAGGAACCTTCACATAAAGAAAATTCGAAACCCAGAATATTTCCCTGGGGAATTCTAGCAAACATACATGGAAGCAATAAAATGTCTTACATCAACTTTTTCGAAACTGAGGCCATTTTCATTTTACTTAACAGAGATATCGACATGAAAAGTGTGAGTCAATATGTCATGAACATAGAACCCTTCTAAATGAAATATTAGCAAATCAACCCCCCAAAGATACAGATAATGATTTAATATGCAAAAATATAAAAACATATAAGTAGTGATCAAGTCAAGTTTATCCAGGAAATGTAAGGTTGAGATTTAAAAAATTAGTCAGTGCCATTCACTGTATTAACAAGATAAAGGAGAAAAATCGTATGGCCAGTGAGACAAGTACAATAAAAGCATTTTAGAATTCAGGGTGTATTGACAGTAAAAACTTAGCAAACCCGAGATAGACGACATCTTTCTTGGGAGAGGTGGGAAATGTTGATCAGTGTATACTAAGTAACAGGAGCAAGCCGTTCCTGTGTGCTCTGCACAGTGTGTGGATTATAGATAACAATAGTGTGCTGCATGTTTCAAAAGGCTCTAAGAAATAGATTTGAAAATTTTCACTCTAAATGTTTGAGGAGATAAAAATAGTTAATGTGATTTAAACATTGCACAATGTATACGTGTATGAGACATGATATGGTACCCCATCAATATGTACAACTTTTATGTTTTTGTGTGTCAGTTAAAAATTAAATTAAAAAGAAATCAACTTTTTCAACTGGATAAAGAGTATCTACAGGTAACAATGCGCTTAATGGCAGGTATTACATTCTTCCCCCTAAGATTTGGGACGGAGTAAGGATGTCTGCTCATTCTGCTTCTGTCCAACATTGTGCTAGAGTTCCTGGCCAGTGTGGTAAGACAAACTAAAGAAACGAAAGGAACGCAGGTTAGGAAGGAATGAGTAAAACTTTTTATTTGTGTACAGTATAATTGTTTTATATGATGAATCCTCGCTCTTCCCTCAGTACTCTACTGAACAACTATTAGAACTAATAAAGCAGGATATAAGGATCAATATTCAAAGGTTATATCTCCATGTGCCAGCAGAAAACAATTAGAAAGTGAAGACAGAAACATAATTCTATTTAAAGATATCACCCAAAATATCATATATCTAGGAATATATCTAATGAAGCTTGCACAAGATTTTTCCATTAAACTATAACACATTACAGAAAAAACTAAAGAAGGCCTAGATAAATGAAGAGATGTGCAATGTTCACAGATAGAAAGACTTAGTAAGATATCATTTATTCTCAACTCGATTTATGGATTCAGTGAAATATGAATATCACAATAGGAGTTTTGGGTGTATACAAAAAAATTTGTAAGGAAATGAAAAGAATTGTAAATAATCAAAAAAAATCTTTAAAGGGTCATAGTGGTTAGGGGAGTTTGCTATTACCATAAAGAGAGACGTATCAGTGGGGAACAGGTAGGGACTATAAAGCCAAAGTCACATATGTAGCAATATAATATTTTATTTTTAAAACAAGGGCACCAACACAATTCAAAGAGCTCAAAGAAGACTGATATTTTCTGGCAACTCAGTTTTTTTTTTTTTTTTTTTTTTTTTTTGGTTTTTCTCCGGTACCGGGAACCGAACTCACGACCTTGCGCTTGCCAGGCAGGCGCTTTTGCCGCTGAGCTAAATCCCCAGCCCCTCAGTTGTGGTTTTTAATACCATTTTCACTGAGGGAAGTGGAGTTCCTTAGAGCGAAGAGGTTGATTACCTTACTTACCTTAACCACCCCACATAGTTAGTGAAGGGAAATTTTTCTTCATAGAAATATTCAGGTAATGAATGATGAGAAGGTTTTACAAGTAGGTCATCAGAGTTCTGTGATTAGGAATGAATGGATTGGAGGACGAGCGGCATCTATGTTGTCAAACTGGAATCAAGTCACCACTTAGATAAAAAGATTTACAGGAGGTGTTGTCAACAAAGGGACATTTCCATAAAAATAGAAAAGGGATCTGCAAAACCCAGACTTTAGGCAATGCTACAGGACAGAGAAAATAGTTTCTTAAGCAAAAATGAAAAGAAAGAAAAGAAAACAATGAAGTATAAAAAGAAGAGACAGAACCTATAGACTAAAAAGACTGAAGAACACAGGAAATTGCATTGCTTGGGCCTTGTTTTGATACCATTTTGACCTAAAACTCTCTAAAAAATAAATTTATAGTAAAGGAAGTGAGAACACTATTCAGTGGCTATTCAATAAAGATTTTGTAGAATTTCTGCTAACCTCTTTTTCAGTAGGATTATAATATTATGGTTATATTTTTGTACTACTAATTCATATCTTTTTGGAGAAATATATTGCAATATGTATAGATTGAGTTCATGTAATTTTGGGGCTATAATTAAAAATAAAAGAGTAAGTGTGTATGTCCCAAGCGTTGATCATTATTGAAGCTGGTTGTGGGTGCTTTGGGGCTCATTATATTCCTTTCTTTACTTGTGAAAGGTGTTAGAAATTTTCTCAAATACAAAGCTTTAAAGAATTACACATGGCCCATACTTAATCTTCAAAATTTTAGAGTCTGTCCATGACTGTGCCAGAAATACCAATTTCTATGTGCTACTTTGAAACCCAAATTTTTTTTTCCTCAATGTTTTTAGGTTATGTTGCTAAAATTAGGAAGTCAGTAATAAATACTCTTTTTTTCCTCTCTTGGATTGGGATCACTTGTTAGCTGGGTTCTGAATAAGACTTGGGGGTAAAATGTCAGCTTTGCTGTTGATAAACTCATACTGGAAGAAGTAGTAACCACAGAGGACTTCCCTGTCCTTCATCACCGAAAAGAATTTACTACGGCACAAGCATGACTAACAGATAGCAGAAACCCCTCTTCTTCAAGGATGGAGTGGGACAAAGAAATGTCCCTGTGGGATCCTGTGGGCAGGCAGGCTCTGACTGAGCAATCACCCAGGAAGGGTCAGTTGAGATAGGTGTGATCTCTTGCACACTCACCAAGAGGAGTGAGTGAAGGCCAGGAGCACCTCCACCCGGAGCCTTAGGTCGAAGTTGTGGGGGAGCCCCTATGAAGACGGTGCTGCTGGAGGCCTTCCTGTGGAGTCAGTGGCTTAGGGATTGAGCTTATAGTGTCAATAGAAGGTCAACTAACTTTTATGAAACATCTCCTGTGGGCGGGGCACTCTGCTAGCAAACAAGTGCTATGCCTGTTGGTCAGCCCTGTGCAGCCCAACCTCAGGTATGCAGTTGTATTTCACAGCCTGATGACTTCCAAGATCTTTTACCTTCAAGGATTATGAATCTTAGCCTCTACTTTGCTGATCCTTTCTCTGTCCCCTAAAGGTATCGTCAGGAGAGGACAAGCCAGACTTGAGTAGCTCAGTTGTTTTGGGCCAGAGACTGACCCTCACTTAGACGGATCTAAATAGTTCTGCTTTGTCTCAAAAGTTTTAAAAGATAAATACATCGGGGATGCAGTTACTACTCAGGTGAAAAGAGGGTTTAGAAGACTTCTCCCATGGGTTTGACTTATATCAAGGAAATGGATATAAATTATGTACATTAGTCAGTGTAATCAAGTTGTTAGGGAATTTCATTGTCTATATATACTAGAACTTGTTTTTGCTCAAAGCTTTGGTGTACTGGTTTAATACCATTACATAAATGGATAGTGACTATATATAAGGTATAGACTCCAGCCTATGTTTTCTAGTACAGTAAACATTAGTCATATGATTATTTAAACTTAAGCTTGAAATACTTAAATTTAAATAAAATTAAAAGTTCAGGGGCTGGGGGTTTAGCTCAGCGGCAAAGCGCCTGCCTGGCAAGTGCAAGGTCGTGAGTTCGGTTCCCGGTACCGGAGAAAAACCAAAACCAAAAAAAAAAAAAAAAAATTCAGTTGCACTGATTCTACTCCAAAGTTTTTGTGGCCACATATGTCTAGTGGCTATATTAAACTGTATCAAACAGCACAAATACAGCACATTTTCATTGTCACAGAAAATTCTATTGGATAGCACCACTCAAATGATCAAGCTTTGATTTGCAGAATAAAAACATGCTTAACATTTTCTTTTTGGTTTCATTCTTTTTCATGTATAATACTAATTTTTTTCTGAAAAAATAGATGGTAAAGTCAGAAATCGCACAAATTGTTTCTCAATGTGCTATTTGCAGTCTGTTGACGATAAAGGAGAATTCAGCGTTCCAAGCTGTTACGGGAATATCAAATATGATAACGGCGGTTCTAGCCTTACTTTTGAGGATCCTTTGGATGATGTTAACGTGGTTGATTTGAAATGGATCCATGACTTTGTGCTGAAATCACTGGAAGTTTTATATCAAGTGGAAAAATGGGAAACTCTAGTGTCACTTGCTATTCAGTTCAATACGATTTCACAGTAAGTACTGCTGTCACTACAAGAGACTTCACTGCACAGAAAGTCTTTGGTAATGCTTGGTTTTTCATGCGTTCTTTATTCCTGCCAGTGAGAGATACACAGAACAGGTGACACCACTCCTGGTGTTTGCCCAGCGTCAGCTGCTTCTGAGAATACAGAAGTTCAAGGGCCCAGATGTCACCCAACAACCTTGTGCAAGGTATGAGGCTGACTATGGAGAGAAGGTAAGTTCAGCTCTTTTATTCATGCAGTTGTGCATTTCTTATTAGTGTGCATATAAAAAAACCCCAAAGATTAAGGAATCAGAAAAGTATTATTTTTACTTGGGCATTTATCATTCAAATCATCCAACATTATTGAGCACTTACTACTACCGATGTTTTCCACACACAGGGTAAAGAGAAATTAAGTCCTTGCTTACCAGTCGCTTATACTCAGGTCAGGGCTGACTTACCGCTAAGCATAATTGGGACAGTGCCTAAAGCCCATGATATTTTTAGGGGCCCACTACAAAATGCTTTAATTGCTTTGCAAATAAGAAAGTCACATTTAGGTTAAAGAAAATGTCTTAATTTTTACAATTAGTAGTTTTATACTTGCACCAAAACAATCTTAAAAATGCAATGTCTAATATTTTTTAAATGGTGGCCTAGGCTGACAAAGGCAAAAGTGCCCAGCTTGAATCAGATAGAGAACAGAGGCAACTTAATGCTCCCTATTTTATCAAAAATGTAATGACTGCCCAATCAGCCAATGCATATGGTCTCACAGTCTGTGTCCTGCCCAGTGGCCCGGGGCAAACATGGGCTGGAATCCAGCCCCTGCTGTGGGTTTGCAGTGCTGCCTCTATCCATTTTCTGCCTCTTCCGGCCCGGTGGGGGTCTTGCCTCCTGTGTGTTCCACGTGCTGGGAATACAGTTGAGTTCTTGCTTCATGGAGTTTCCTTTCAGACGTTGGGGATGGGGTCAGATAAGAAACGTGTAAGCAGGCAAATGGAAAGCTTTGTGATCATCGAAACTCCTCTAAAGAAAATGAAATCGATCAGTGGGGTATAGGTGGGCCAGGGCAGGAGGCAGAAAGCTTAGCAAGACCTCTTGGATAGGGCGATGCTTACTGAGAAGGAGCAGCCATACAGTGGTCTGGGGAAAGAGCGTTCCAGCCCCAGGGGAGAGCAAGGGCAAGGGTCCTGAGAAGGGACAGCAAGGAAGTCGGCCTGGCTGGGATGGAGCAGAGAAGAACAGGTCAAAGCAGTGCTGCGCCTTCCGGCCCTCATTGTAGTCACTTCCCCTTCTCCCCAGGGTCTTGGTGTTAGTGCCTTGAGCCTCTGCTCTTGGACCTCCTGTGTTCTCATCCATGCACTCTCCCTCAGGAAGTTAATTCAGCGTGGCTCTAAGTGCATCTTTATGATGACTGTCAATTACATCTCCACTCTGGACCTTTCTCCTGTGTGTTGTGTTGGAATATCGCATACGTCCCTCTATCAGTGAGAAGCAGAATTGGCAAGACAGCTTTCTGTCTCTGTCTGTCTCCGTCTCCGGATTTATTGCATAGAATAGGCTTATGTGATTGTGGGTACTGGCTAAGCAAGTCCAAGGGGAGGCTGTCAGAGGCAGCCCTGCAGGCATGGACAGAAGCTGTTACCCACAGCCAGACCATGAAGACAGAGCAATTGTAGGTCTGACCATCATTTGGTGTTTGGAGTCCCGGAGTCCGCTGGCATGATTAGGGCAGGCCCGCTGAGAGTGATCTCCCCAGTTTAAACTCAATTCATTAAGAGTTTAATTAGCACCTGCAACCCTGCTCACAGCAGCGCGTAGGTCAGTGTTTGGCTCAAGAACTGGGATTAAGTGTGGACCTGCTGCAAAGGGGACGCTTCACTCCTTTTCCTTCTCACAGCTTAGCTCTGATTAAGTTGATCCATGAAAAACCACCGTGCAACCTAGTTAGCGTCATCTCTTTGCCATGAATACACTTTTCAAATGTAGCACATCTCTAAGGAGCCTGCTCTTAGAGAAGTCTGCCTCTGAGAAGCTCTCCTCCTTCACTGCTGACAGCCTCATTCTTCTAGCTGCTGAGACAGCTAGAAGACACGTGGGAGACATCCCCGACTCATCTCTTGTTTCTTGCCATACTATAGGTTAGTTTCCAAATCTTATGGCCTCAAAATGTAGTCGGAACCTGACCCTTTCTCGCTGCTACCATCCCTCTGAGCCAACCGTTGCTTTATCTGCCAGGGTTAATTACCCTGCAGCAGACAGAATGACTCTTTAAAAACCCAAGCTAGGCCACATTGCATCTCTGTTTAAATCCCCATGATGTCTTCTCCCTGCCTCACAGTACTGTGAACTTACTTGTCA